AACTACAGAGCTTGCGCTCTAGAGCCCGTGAGCCACAACTACTGAGCCCATGTGTCACAACTACTGAAGCCCGCGAGCCTAGACCCCGTGCTCCACAACAAGAGAAGCCACCACAATGAGAAGCCTGCGCACCGCAACAAAGAGTAGCCCCCGCTCGCTGCAACTAGAGAAAGTCCATGCGCAGCAATGAAGACCCAACACAGTCAAAAAAAAAAAAAAATCTTCCAAGTCTCTACTTCACTTTTTAAACACCTGAAATAGTTATTAACTGTTTTACCATTCCTGTCTGCTAATTCTAATATCTGCGTCAGTTTCAGTTGATTGCCTTTTCTCCTTATTATGGGTTGTGTTTCCCTGCCTCTTTGTATGTATGTCTGGTAATCTTTAATTGGATGTTGTGACTTTTATCTAGTTGGGTGCTGGGTATTTTTGTATCCCTATAACAATTCTTGAACTTTGCTCTGTTATGTAGTTGAGTTCCTTGGAAACAGTTTGATCCTTTTGAGTTTTGCTTTCAAGGTTTATTAGGTAGGAGTGTTGACCAACCTAGGGCTAGTCACTCTCCATTTCTGACACAGGACCATTCTGTGTTCCCTATGCAGTGTCTGTGAACGATCAGTCTGCCTGTTGGGAACAGAAGATTAATATTCAACCAAAACTTGCGGGGAACCTTCTGGAGGCCTCCAGAGCTCTCTCTGTGTGCAGCTGTCTCTCTAGGGAACTCTAGCTGCCCTGGTCTCCTTGGACTCCCAGTGACTTCTCCTGAACCAGGGAGTCTTCTTGGATTTCTCTTCCTTCTGCCATGACTTAGAAACTCTTTCGAGGCAGTGATCTAGGCAACTGTAGGGTTCACCTCATTTATTTTCCATGTCTCATAGATCACTGTCCTTTGCTGCCTGATGTCCAATGTCTCGAAAACCGTTGTTTCATATAATTTGTCCATTTTTTGCTTGTTTCAAGCAGGAGCGTATATTCAGTCCCTGTTGCCTCATCTTGGCCAGAAGTGGAACGCATCACGGACAGTCCCTCAGATACGGCCGGATAAACATGTTCACTCCTGGGAATCTCAGTAAGACCTCATAAAGGCTGGGAGAGGGTAACTCTGCTGGTCACAGAACACCTGAGGCTCATTCTTGGTGACTTTTCCACCTTGAAACTTCCTGGGGTTCATGTGAATGGAATTTCACCCAAGCAAAAATGTGTCCATGAAGAGAACTTGTGCAACCCTCCCCCAGGACTTCTTTCTGCCTTGTGTTTTGTCCTGGAGGCCCTCCCCTGGTCGCAGTGTTTAGGGGCTATGCCCCCTGCTCCCTCTCAGTCTCCAGAAGACCCCGCTGACCCCACTCTCACCCCCGAAGCGTGGATCTGGGGCTGTAGGTGTCCATACTCAGTGGAGTGGGGATTACTGCTGATAGGGGCCATGCTCAGCGAGGGCCATCTCACACGGTCTGGGGTGGACCACAGCACAGGAAGGTTTGCTGAGTCCCCTGGGTTGAGCTCCAGAAGTGCCTGTCTCTCTGGCAGTCTCACGTGGCCCTGCCATACCTGGGTCGCCAGCCCATCCCTCAGTCTAGAGCTCTCCTCTCTGGGGTTGCCTTTTGGGGAAATCAGGTAACAGGCAACCAAACACACAGCTTTGGAGCAGAGCCGTCCAGCAGTGGCCCGCCCCCCAGCCTCCCCTCATCTGGGCTGTCACACTGGGTCTCTGTTAACCTAGGCCTAACGCTGCCCCCACTAGTTTGATGTCAGCAGCAAACCAGACAAGGGTGGACAGACAACCCTAACTCAGGCAGCAGCCGCACTTCACTAGCTGTGTTCACTAAGAGTCCGTAGAAATGAGACATATTGTATTTCCAGGTAGACATTGTGTCCAACTCATCACACCAAATGGAGTTGACCAAACAGGATGTGAGATGTCCAGTTTTTCCTTTTACATGAGAAACCTGTTTTATTTTTAGGAACATGCTTTTTTTTCGCTCCACGGGCAATTTTTTTTTCATGTTTATTCCAAGGGCCTGGGGTAGTTCCCTCCTGTGCAAGAGAAGCAAACTGGCTTTTTGACTTAAAGCCCCTTCTGCTCTGGCCAGTCCAGGCAAACACAGCAAGAAGAGCCAGGAAGGAAGGACAAGAGACCTCAGGTTCCTATCTTCCTGACACCACAGAGCAACCAGTCACTGCCTCGAGTGCCCACAGGGAGGCTGAGACGAGCAGAGAACGAGGTAAAGCACAGAGGAGGCAAGATGCCGCCGTGGCCATCGGCGCAGAGGCCTGGGCCGGCCCAGGACAGAAAGCCAGAGGAAGCGCAGGAGGCTGCTGTCCCCCTGTCCTTCCACCTCTGATCCCTCCTGCTCCTTCTCTCCGGGCCAGAAGGGCACCCACATGTGGGATGGTCTTCCTGGGACTGCAAAGAAGGCAGGAAAAATACACAGAAGCCAGCTCTGGTGCCCAGAAAGGCAGGATGGACCAAGTGGGCGTCTGTTCCTGAGCGTCTGCTCCGGCCTGGGGGAGCGTGCACACAGGGCACACGGCCTGCGTTTGCCGGGACACCTGCTGGACGAGGGGGTTCAGAAGGGCTGACAGGCGACAGAGCAGCCAGGAAGCACAGAAGCATTCAGAGTGTGACGTCTGCAACCAAAGCAGGGGAGGATCCCTTGTAAACTTGTTAGATCTTGTGACCCCTCTGCTCCAAACCTACAGCTGCTCTCCATCACTCTCCCAGTAAAACCAGTGTCCTCAGGAAGGCCTGGAAGAGCCGCCCTCCTGCTACCCCTGCCCTTTCTTCCTCCCCTCTGGCCCCTCACTGTACTGTGGATGCACCAGGCACGCCCGCTCAGGGCCACTGCCCGGGATGCTTGTATGGGTGCTCTCTCCCGAGTTTGCACACCCACTCCCTCCTCTCCCTCCAGCCTTTGTTCAGATGCTACCCACTCCCACCCCACTATTTAATCCCCCAAGCCCAGCACTCTGATCCCCCTTGCTTGAGTCTGTTTTTTCCCAGCATCTACTTGCTAGCGCATTATACAATTCACTTACATATTATATTTTTGTTTGCCTCTCTACACAAAAGGTAAGCTCCATGAAGGCAGAGTTTGGGACTTTTCTTTCTTTCTTTCTTTTTGTCTGTTTGAGAACTGACTTATCTGCCCCGCTTAGAACAGCCCCTGGCATGTGGCAGGTGTTCAGAAAATATTTGCCAAGTGAGCTGACCAACTGCACAGCCTTTCCACAGTCAGGAGCACAGGACCCAGGCCCACGGGGGTTCGAACTCTGCTCAGGCGTTAGATGAGAGTCTCCAGGCCCAACTGGAATCCTGAGGCCAGCGGAGACATTCATAAACACCTGGGTCCGTAACTGCCCTTTTAAACAGTTTTTTTTATTGTGATAAGAACACTTGACATGGGATCTATCCTCTTGACAGATTTTTGATTGTTGTAACTGCCTTGTTTATACTCATGTAATTTTATGGGCCTGGTGTCTGTAGAATTGGGGGACAAAACCCCCAAAACTTGAGTTGACTTGATTGAAACAGCTCTGGGGATGTTAAGAAACCCAACCAAGTCACCGGTTATCACGTAAAAAAGGGAGAAGTGTTCTGTCACTTGACTTCTCCCAGTTTGCAGCCATCAGCCCCCTTCCCTCGCTCCTAGTGAAAGGGAGTTTGTCACTTAGCAGTCCCTGCTGTGTCCGCCTAGTCCCCCAAGAGCAGGGAGAGGGCCAGCCTGGGAGCCCTCAACGCTGGGTCTGAGGGGCAAGCCTCCTCCATGGGAACAGCCCTGAGGGCACACAGGTCCCAGCAGGCAGTGAGGGCGCCCCAGCGTCAGGCCGGGGGCCCTTGGTGACATGCATCAGTGGAGGCTGAGGGCCCCTGAACACCTGGCCCAGGTGAGACAGTGGAGACAGGCAGTGGGGGAGAGAGCGGACTTGCAGGCCAGGTGAGGTCAGAGACAGAAGAGAAAGGCCACAGCACGCGGTCAACAGATGAGCCCTGTGCCCAGGGGCCCTGGACAGCATGTTTCAGGAGACACAGGATGTGGGAGAGTCACCCGTGTCAGGGGCGCAGCATCCCCCTGGACAGGGCCCCTGTCCCCACCCTCCACTCAAAAGACCCCCACCACAGGGCCCCACACGGCGCGCGCACGTGCGCGTGGCCGGGAAGGCTGGTGACCTAGGAGCTGGGGGAGGACAGCGACGCAGCTGCGGGATGGGGCACGTGCCAGCCTCATGGAAGCCGGTTCACAGAACCATATTGCTTTTCAAGGCCTGTGAGGAGCCTCAGGTCTCTAATCCAACTTGCTGATTTTAGAGAAGAGGCTGATGGCTCAGCAGTGGAGTCAGGAGGAAAGGGGATAGAAGCCAGCCTCCCGGCTCCCACTGCAGGGTAGGGCCTCCACCCTGCTTCTGCGCCCCTGGTCAGCGACAGAGATGGAGGGGCAGTGGGGGTCCCGGCCCTGCTCCTCACTCGGCCGCTTCCCCTGCTAAAAGGAAGGTGTCCTCAAAGGCCGCAGGGGTGGGTGCCGGGGGCAAAGGTCAGGGCCCCCCGGGGCCCGGTCACATGGGGGCTTCTTGGCATAACGAACCACATCAAAACGAGTCAGGGAAAGAGATGGGGCGACAAAAAAGGGAGAGAAAAGCAGAGACCGGGCTGAAGAAAAGATCCCGCTTAGTCTCAGAGAAGGGGCGGCAATAGGGCTTCAGGACGCCCCCTGGCTGGTCCCCACGGGACCTGCGCCAGAACCTAGCGCCCTTGCGTCTCCCCACCGACTGGGTCGCCGATGGGTCCGCGCATGCGCAGAGCTGGGGAGGGGGGGCGTGCGGCACGCGGGGCGTTGAGCGGGGCCTCGGCTCCTCCCGTCCTGCCTGGGCCCCGGGCGCCCCCCCCCCCCACCTCTGCGTTCACCACCGCCCGTCCAGAGAGAGACTGACCTCCGGTCACCGGGAGAGAAGGTTCCAGGGAGGGTCAGGAGGCGGCGGCTCGGCCCCTTCGTCCAGGAGACACTCACCATTCATCTGGGAGGGGGACGACGAGTAGTCCCGGTCCGTGGGCCGGCGGTCGGGCTTCAGGTTGCGGCCCTGCCTGCCCGAGCCCTCCAGCATGTTCACGATCTCGCCGCGGTCGATGTGCCGCAGGGCCGCGTACAGGTTCTCCACTGCGGGCAGAGGGGAGGAAGGAGGGCGCTGGGGGGACCGCTACCCATCGCAGGGCGCGCGGGACGCCCGGCTCTGAACTCTGGTGGGGTGGGGGGAAGACTGCGAGGGGGGGGATTGCAGGCCCCCGCTTTTGTCAAAGTCAAAGCAAACTACCTCTTTGGAGAAGACGGCAGATCTGGGGACACTGCGGTTCCCGTCCGGCCCACGCAATAAAGCCAAAATCGCGGTAAAGCGAGAACACGAATGTTGTTGTTTTCCCAGTGCATATAAAAGTTATGTTTACACTCCACTCTAGTCTATTAAGTGTGCAGTAGCATTCTGTCTAGAAAGACAAGGCATCTACCATACCTTTAAAATATTTTATGGCTAAAAAACGCTAACTGTCCTCTGAGCCTTCAGTGAGTCTTAATAGTCACATAAAGATCACTGATAACAGATCAGCGTAACAAATGCAATCATAATGAGAAATTTTGAAATATTGAGAGCATTACCCAAATGTGACAGACACGAAGTGAGCAAATGCTGTTGGAACAGACCTGCTGAATTTGATTGGGAAAAAAACACAGTATCTGCGAAGCGCCGTAAAGTGAGGTAGACCTGTGTTTTGTTATCCTTTAACAGATCTTTCCCAGACCCTAACAGCGGCGAATTTCAAGGCATGGGAAGTGTTTTTTTGTAACCGAAGAGGAATACTACAAGAAGATGAGTGAGAATGATTGGATTCTGTCTTCTGGAAATCCTTGGTCCTTGCCAGTTGATTTGCCATGCAAACGTAAACACTCAATTTCCTCTTAGCGCTTTGTATTTGGGAATGGGGTGCAGGAGGGGCTGAAAAGAGTGAGACAAATCTTCCCTCCCCCGTTGGAGACAATCCTGGAAGAAGAACTCCATCCGAGGGGGGACTCCTCACTGGGCTCTGTCCCGAGGGGACAATCCTCATTTGTTTGAGAGATTCAACCGGAAGGCACACACCCTACACAGATGCTGTCTGTCTTCTAGGGGTCCTGGTGCGCTGTGAACTCATTCTGAGGATGGGAAGAGATCACGGCCAAGATTCTCTGAAATCCCCTCCCGGCAGCCTTGCCCAGAAGACCAGGGATCCTGAGAGGTGCATGTGTGCGTGACTGTGCGTGTATGTATGAGTGAGACAGAGTGTGCAGAAGAGATTGGTTCCAAAGGCCAACACCACCCAGGGAATTTGGAGGGAGAACTACTTGGTGAGAAGAGGTCCTGGCACAGGCTTTGGGGAGAGAAGGCTCCCCAACCCATTGGTACTGACTCTTTGCATCTTGGCCTTCACGGATGACCCAGAGGTTCAACAAGGCCACGCTCTGCTCCAGCAAGGAGTTGGGGTTCTCCACGCGGATCCTGTTGATGTCATCCACGCTGAACTGCAGCTCGCGGGCCAGCTCTGCGCACAAAGAACCAAGACCGGGTGTGAGCCCAGCCAGAGCCCAGCCCCAGCCCCCGAGCCCGCGCGTGGAGTGGGGCGCCCGGCAGGGACCAGGAGATAAAGAGCAGTCTCCCTCTGGATTCTGTATTCCTTCTTCCCAAGGAATACCTAGTGAAATGCTGACACTTACACTGTTGTATCCCCAGGGAACGAGCCAGGAGGAGGCATGTGCCCAGGAGAGTAAATAGGTATTGAATGAATGAGACTGAGCCACTCATCCAAGGTCACAGGACAGGCTGGGGCCACAGCGGGAGAGGGACGGACCCACTGACTCCCTTGGTGCTGTCGGTGCTGCGCTGCATGCCACTGCCTTTCCCGGGAGAAGCAGTTATAATGGAAATGCATCACTGTGTTTACGTTTCTTCCCGGAAAGGCGGTATTCACATTTAAAATGAAAATACAATTTCCCATCTAAATGCAAGGCAATAACACAGAATGCTAGCTCTTCCCCTCCCGTGATTTTTATTGTTATTTCTCGCAGGTGCTTTAGATGAGAGAACAGCATCGGAGTCTCATTTCAAGGATGAGGAAGACCGGAAGGGAAAGTGATGGTGAGAATCAGCATATGCATGTACCCCCTCCACACACACACACACTCACACACACCACATACACACCACACGCATCACATACGCACACCCACACACAACACACAAGCCACACACACATACACACCACACATACCACATCTCTCACACACACCACATACAAGCCACACACACAAACACACACAAAACCAAGAAGCAGCAGCAGACGTGCTTTTCGGGCTTAAAGGAGGAGCCGTCTCTGTTGTGAGCTCCGCCACGCCGCCTTCCAGGAAGTTACTGCTAAGGTTTCCGAGCTTGTCTGAAGCCCTCTCTGCAGGTGGCTGAGTGAAGGGGGCCTGTTCATCCAAAATCTCACCGGAGAGCGGGGATTAAGTCACAGGGCCTGCGACCGAGTAGAACGCAGCCTGAGCTGTCACTGCCTCAGAGTCAGGTCTCCCCTCGTGGTGGACGGGACTCGTGTATGACTTCAGCCACGGCCAGAGATGACAGATGAAAAACGTCCAGACTTGATCTTCTTCCCTCCCTTCCCTCAGCAACGCCAGCCTGTGGGGACGGCGGCGTGTACGGTGCCGGGAGCCCTGGGCAGGCAGTCGGGATGCACATTTTTTGTTTGCTTGTGTGTGTGTCCTTGGTTTGCTGGCTTTGCAGGGCTCTGTCACTAACTCGCTGCACAACTAAAGTCACCCCAGTTATCTAGGTCTCAGCCTCCCCATCTGTAAAATGGGCAGCCTGGATCCATGCTAAGGTCTCCTGTAACGTCTGAAGTTGAGTTTCTAAAAAGGAAAACCAGAGAGAAGTGGGGGAGGGAGGGAGCCCCCCTCTATTGGTAAACCATGGCGACAATCCCAGATCAGGTGCACACTGGTGGTGGGAAGAGGTTTAGAAACGCCTTCACCAGCTGGCCTTTAGCGGAGAGGAGGTGTAGAGGTAGGTGTAGACAGGCAAAGTGCTCTTCTGCCCCAATTGCCCCACTCACCGGCCCAGCTGAGGCCCAGGTGCTCTGATATAATAGCCATCTTCACGTCAGCCCGGTCTGCGCCGCTGAGGAAACCTGGGGGGAAGTATCGCATTCCATTTAGTAGCCTTGGCGGGACACAGAACCGACAGGCGTGGGCGAGGGACCTCAGAGGGTGCTCGGGGCCCACTCCGTGTCCACCCGATTGGTGGCTGAGCCTGAGAGGGTCAGTGGAGACCCCAGCCAAGGGCTGAGCCAATGGTGTCAGCTCGGAGCTCCCGTCGGGCTGAGGGGACGCTGCCTCCCTCACCGTCCCCGGGAAGGGAGTGAGCACAGAGAGTCACAGAGAGGTTGGTACCCAATGTGGACTCGCTGAGGATGCTGTATCTCAGGGCCAGCGGCGTCAGGGTCCTCCTCCGGTCATCGGCTCCACTGCCCTGCCGGAGAGAGACCAGGAAAGGGTGCTGTGGGTGCAGGCGGGGAGGACGCCTGGCCTGGCAGACGATGGGCAGCTGCACTGCCTGGAGCCTCGACACACAGGGTAGAAGTGTGGGCAGAGGGGGGTCAAGAGGGAGTCTCATGTACTTTATTATTATTATCATTAAGGATAAGCTCACATGGCCCTTATCACGTGCCAGGCCCTGATTGATGGACACAATCCCCTATGAGGTAGGTACCATCATTCCTCCCATCTCACCGGGGAGGAGGAAACTGAGACCCAGAGGGCGGACTAACCCGCCCAAGTTAACTCAGCCAGTAAGTGGGTGGAGCTGGAGTTTGAATTTTAAAAAAAGTTTTTCTTTTTGGATTCCTTTCTGCTCAAAAGACCGGGTTTTGATGCCCAAGCCTTCGCATGCTGTGGCAAAGCACCGGGATGCTTGTTCAAGGCTGTGGGAGACCCGCCTGTGAAAGAGAAGTCGGTTCTCCCTAGTCCTCAGACAGAAAGGAGAAAACGAGCCTCGGATGTCTGGATGTGACCTTGTTTGTCTAGTTCGGCGTGAAAGGCTGATGACGAAAATGACAGGACGACACCAGCAAAAGAGACCACCCCCTCCAGTGCAGTGGAGACTCAGCTGCTTCCAGGCACCAGTGATGCTTGGTGCTCACACCTCTGCTGAGCTCAGAGCCCTGGGCGAGCACAGGGCTGAGACACCAGGCTTCCCTTCTCTGAGGGCCTGGGCAAGACAAGTAAGTAGAGGAAAAAGAGGCTCCAAAAAAGCCCTGACGTGGCTGGGACACCTTAAGCCACCGGCCACCCGGCTGTCAGGCCTCGCCTTCCAATGTCCTGGAAGGGGCGTCCTGGGGAGCTCGGGGCCTCAGTGTGAACACGCGCGTCACCCTCACACCCTGACGTTTGTCCCCGAGCTTTGCGGGAAGGGCTGGGCCACAGCCCGTGTCGGGGAAGAGCCCAGGGCCTTTCTCCACCTGTTCGGCTGAGAGTCCCAGCAGGGCGCTCACCTTGGTGCAGGGTGGCATGGTGACGTTTAGGTGGCAGAGGATGTGCTGCGTGTCCTCGTACTTCATCGCCTTGCGCAGGAATGACAAGGACCCTGCTGGATCTCGACTGCTGTCCCTCACCTAGACTCAGTCACACAAAAGGGAGAGTCAGGGGCCGCCCCACTGGCCACCAGCCCACCTGGCTCAGAGCTCTCCGCCTCCCGGACTTCTAGACCCGGGCGAGGGGTGGGCGAGAGGAGGCCGCACCTTGACAGGAATGGCCAACCGGCTCTCCCGGAAAGACTGGAAGAGGAAACTCCGCTGCTGGGCGGCCTTCTTGATGGGCACCAGGTTCCCGGAGAGCTCTGCGAAGAGGGGCATTCCTTCCAAAACCTGCAGGAAAGGGAAAGCAAATGCAGCTGGTCAGGAGCAATGCCCAGATGCCCGGTCCCGCCTGTCAGCTCCCGCCTCTGCTTCCCCACGACCCCCCAGGGGCCTTGCTCTGGGAGGCCCCACTGGGTGTTTCGGAAAGGTTATGGTGGATGCTTCCTTACTTCAAAGGAGTTTATAATAAGCAGAACTCTTCACATATCCCTGCGTGGTTGATCAGCGTTGCTATCAGAATACTCTAGAATTCCACTAGGAAATCATAATATGGCTTCCGAAAAACATTTATCTCTTTTAACACCATCCAACAATGTTTACTTTATATGAGTGCCAGAAGGACCATGTTGTGGTTTAATCTCATCCATAATATAATGATCCCTACTGTGTATATAATGCTTTCAACTGAGAAGTTATCGTGAACCCATTTGACAGTGGAGGAAACCGAGGCCCAAGGAGACTGGTTAGTGCCCAAAACAGCATTAGAGGCAGGTCCCAGCCCTGTGGTCCTTCTTCCGGGCCCTCAGAGCCCCCAGAAGGCTCAGCACAGCCTCTGAGGCCAGATCTTCAGAAAGGTCCTGCTCTGTCACACATCTTAACCTAAGTGAGGACCCTGGGACGGGTAACAGGTTCAAACCTAGTCCCCGTTCTTTACTGCTCCCCCATCTGCCCAGCCCCTCCCTTGCTTCCTCATCTGGGTGCTGCCAAACCCCCGGCGTGGCAGGGAAAGTGGGCTCTGCGGTCAGACTCCTGGGACAAATCCTTTCTCTGCCATTTACTCAGCTGTGTGACCTTGGGCAAGTTGCTTAACCTCCCTCAGTCTCGGTTTCCTCATCTGTAAACGGGGGATAACAAAAGGACACACAGTTATGAGAATCAGGGGAGATGACGCCACTCAAGCACTTTTTGCTTTTGGGCCACACGGTGCGGCACGCGGGATCTTAGTTACCCGACCAGGGATTGAACCCGTGCCCCCTGCAGTGGAAGTGCGGAGTCTTAACCAGGGGATGGCCAGGGAAGTCCCACTCAAGCACTTTTAAAAGTACCTGGGGTGTAAGAACTTGAATAAATGTCAGCTCCTAGCATCACAAATCACTGGGCTGACAGCCTGCTCTCTCCTTGACCCACATGGTGTCCCTCGGCTCTGGGGAAGCTTCCCGCTGATGCTTCTTAAAGGGACATGGCCCAGGAGCCCCTCTGCAGAGGCTGCCCTCCTGACAGCCCTGGGTCCTAAAGGCGCCGGCTGCCCGCGAGGCGGGAGCCCAGGGGGCCCAGGCCCCTACCTCTGTGTCCCTGCTCCGGGCCACGAGGCGGGAGCCCAGGGGGGCCAGGCCCCTACCTCTGTGTCCCTGCTCCAGGCCACAAGGCGGGAGCCCACGGGGGCCAGGCCCTACCTCTGTGTCCCTGCTCCGGGCCACGAGACGGGAGCCCAGGGGGGCCAGGCCCTACCTCTATGTCCCTGCTCCGGGCCACCTCCACGAAGTTCTCGTGCTGCTCCAGCGTCTTGTCCACCCTGTCATCCGTCGTCATGCAGTAGCAGCGCAGTCGCCCTTCTCGGGGGTCGTTCATCTTGGCGAAAATGACAAACTTGGCCATGTAGGGCACCGCGGTGAGCTCCTTGTACAGCAGGGTGGCGAAGTTCACAGCTTCAGCCGTCCGAGGGCAGTCCGACAGCCAGAACCTGAAAAGAGGGCAGCCGTGAGCCTGTCCCTAAATGCCTGAGGGGGAGCGTCTCCCCCATCCAATGGCCTGTAAGCCGAGTGGTGGCCTCTCTGACAGCCCCGGTGGTGGGGTGGGCAGGTGACGGCCTAAGCATGGCCACCCATGGGGACAGCGCTGTCCCCTCACGCAGGGCCCGGGGACCCATGGCACCGGGCAGGCGGGGTGTCACCTGGCAGAGACGTTGGTGGTGAAGGTGGCACACTCATTGGCGTACATAAGCTTGGTGGTCCCCGTGATGTCTTCCCACTGGGCCTGGTCTGTCCCTCCTGTGACAGCAGTAGAAAGGGCTTGGGGGACCGTCGCCAGAGGCCAACGCGGGACGTGCACACCTGGCTGTGGCCCCGAGAGCACACCTACCCCTCCGCCCCTCCCCTCGGAGCAGCCCTCCTCTGGGGTTAGAGGGCTCTTCGGGGACAAGGCAGCTCTACTCGGACACAGCTGCCCATCCCTCCGAGGAGCCCATCACTCCCTAGCTCTGTGTCCTCCCGTCTCCCCAGGTGTCGGTGGAAGGAGCTGCTGCCCAGAAGGCAGGGCGGGGTGGGGGCACCGCTCACCAATGACGCTGCAGAGCAGCCGCAGGCTGGTGGTGTCTCCCTCCCCGCTGTCCCGAGGGTTATCTGTCCAGGAGGGAGGGAGTGGGACGCGAAGCCCGATGGGGCGGTGGAACTTGCGGCGCCTCGGCTCCACGGTGACAATGGGGCTGAAGGTGGCCTGGTTGCCCAGGAGTTTGGTGACCAGCTCATCGGGTACAGGCTGGGCCTGTGAAGTGCCGAGGGGGTACACTCAGCCCCGGAGCAGCAGAGGGGCTCATGGACGGAGGAAGAGAGCAGCTGTCTGGGCAGGTGCGAAGGCTCCCGGGGCGGGGGGGGTGGGGGGTGGTCCCACTCCTGCTGACGGCCAGCCCGGCTCTCCTCTCTGAGCCCCCGTCCCCATTTCCTTGCTGCTCCCCACTCCTGGGGGCCTTGCTCAGCATCAGGCACCTCTCCAGGAAGCCAAGTGGCTTCACCTCACGCTAAGCCTGTGGTTTAACACGTTATCTGGGGTTTTCTGCAAGTTACCAGGGCGACTGCCCTATCTCACCCACCCAACTTTCTTCTGAGCTTCAAGGTCAGGGCTCTAATGGGACTTTTCAGGCCCTAGACCAATGGGTGGAGATGTCCTGGGGAGGAGGGTCATCTCTGAGCACCCTGACGCCTTCCATCCCTGAACCCGGTCCAGGTGATGGGGCCCCAGCAGGTAAGGAGAGGCTGTATCACCTGCAGGGCCAGCTTCACTTTCTTGGTGACAGCATTTTCTGGGAAGGTGGCCTGCACCAGGGGGACGAGCGTGCTTTTCAGGGAGCCCCCCTCGGGGCCGATGGTGTCGTAGTCCTGGTAGAGCCTTGACATAATCACGAAGTACAAGGGGAAGTCGGTGGTAACGATGCGGCAGACCCTCTTCTTCTCCAGCTCCTCCAGGCTCCCCAGCTCTGCAACCACAGGCCCGTGCCCGCCCGTCACCATGGTGGCTTCCCAGGGCCGCTGATCCCCACTCTGGCGCCCTCTCCCCAGGCCCCGGCAGGGTCAGGAGGCTGGGCCACCTGGAAGGAGAAAGGTCCTGGCCCAGGGGGTCCTGCACAGGACACCAGGCTGCAGGGGCCCGGGCGCCGGAGCTGGGCCATGTCTAGCCTCTCAGGGGGTCCCACACTCCGGGAGACCCCGAGAGCCCACCCCAAAGTGCAATCCCAAACCCCGTACTCCAGGAGGAGGGCCGTGCTCCGGATCCCTGGGGCTCGCGCACCTTCGTCCATCCCGTTGAGGATCTGATCCAGGTAGCTTTCTCCATAGCGGTTCTTGTGCTCCTTCCACACGGAGCCGTTTTCACTCCGCAGCACCACGAGCTCGCGGTCCCCACGGCCTTGGGAGGCGAAGTGGGGGACCTCCACGATGACAGGGCTGGGGGGACAGGGGACAGTGGAGAGGGGCCCGGACGCAGGTGTGCATGCCATGTGGGCGGCAGCCATGGGCTCAGTAGGGAAGAGTAGCCGGGTCCTGCCTGGAAAGAGGCTGTCCCGTCTGCAGCCTGGTCCTCACAGACGGACAGACCTGCCTCAGGTTCCAGAGAACCCCCATCCCCGGACCCTCTAGCTACCCACCAGGCCCCAACCTCAGTTCACAGGGGGCTCTCCTGCCATGGCCACATGGCCGAGGCTCAGCAGAATAAAGCTGCCCCTGGACCTGACCCTGAGGGCCCGCCTGACATCCTAGACGGGGGACCCAACCCCTCTGAGCCTCAGCTTCCTCCTGTGTCAGTGTGTGAAAGGACATTTCCTTGGGAGGATGGCTTTGAGGACTACATGTGAAGGGGAAGTCAACATGAAAGCGTTTTACAGCTGCTCTACAATCGGTGGATGAAAGCTTGGCAGCGGGGACAGGCTGTGGACGGAGACGGGAGGGCAGGGCCTCCTGGGCAAGACCTGTTCCAACACAGAGCCCGTGGCGCCTGAGGGATGCAGAGCTCCAAGGAGAAGCCCTTCTGCTGCGGGAAAGGTGAGGAGGGAGGCTCTGAAACCATCAGTCCTGTCCTTGGGGGCCATGCTGCAGGGCCGCCTTCTAGGAAGACCGTTTCAGAGCTTAAATAATCAAACCCTGGGGGCCCCGAAAGGGGCCATCTTCATCCCCCCTCTAGTGTCACACAGGCGCTGAGGGCATTAAGCTCCCCCTGGGGAACAGACTCCTATGTGTACCTAGAACAGGCCGTGGAAGGAACACATGGACCCCTGGCTTTGACCGGTCAGGACACAGAGAGCACGGGTGCGGGCTGCAGGCTTGCCTCCCCTCTGCCCGGGCTGGGCTGGGGCTGGGTGGTCGCAGCGCAGCAGGGACAGGTCGGGGGCATGGGAGTGACCTCTCACCTCAGGAACTGGACTCCTGTGGGGCCCAGGGCGATGACCCTGCTGGCCAGGCCCTCCTCCTCGGCCAGCGGGGGCGGCGTGGGCAGCTTCTGGGGCTTCACCAGGCGGCAGGTGATGCGAGTGGGTGCTGCGCACGTCCGGGGCGGGACCACCACCCTCAGGCCGTTGTGCCTGCTGCCCCGCATGGAGCCCCCGCGGGCGTCCACCATGAAGCTCACCAGGAACCTAGGGCACAGCGGGTACGTGTTGGCTTCTCCTGGGTGGGCGAGCAGGGCCAGAGCTGCCAGCCCCTCCCAGGCCACTCACCCTGTGTGCACAGGGCTGGCCACCGGGCTGATGTTGTCTGAGGTCTCTGTGGCCGGGCTGCTGGGGATCAGTGAGTCTTCATCATACTCCTTAGATGCCTGCAGAGGGGAGAAAGGCCAGCGGTCCTATCACCCCCGGGCCACGGCTGATGGTCTCGGCCAAGGTTGGGGAGGCTCAGCCGTGAACCAAGGGGCCCAGTGTAGGAGGCGCTCCCCACTCCCTACCAACCCATTGGGACAGAGCTCACCCGGAGTCTAAAAGGAAGCACGGGCTTCCTCATACCGACACGGACGGCCTCTCCTTGGCTCGGGACCCTGGGCCAGAGCTTTGGACGATGGAGCGAGTCCTCCGTCCCATCCGGCCTCGGTCTCAGCTCCTACACCACGTGCGCTCCTGACCTGCCCGCGTCCTCCAGTTCGTCCCCACCGCTCCGCCCCTGACGCGAACCCTCCGCTCTACGCAGCTCGGTTTCACACTAGAGCTGGCGTTGCTTCCCCCACACCGTCGCCTACGAGCTGTTCGGCTCTGGGCAAGCCACGTGTCCTGGGGCATCGAGGGGCACGAGGGAAACAGACCCTCGTCCCGGGGGCTTCCTTATTCCTCAACTGCAAATGGGACAGCCCCTTCCTCGCAGTGACGTTGTGACTCGGGGACCACGGGGCTGCCTCGCCCCAGGCCTCGTACGTGGCGAGGACTCACGAAGCCAGCAGGTCGCCTCCAGGTTTCTTCTCAACTCTGCCCTCGCTCTCGCTTCCCCGTCGGTCCAGACACCCACGTCCCTCTCCTTCGCTGGACACCCCTGTTCATTTTTCACCTCTCGCCTCCTGTGCGAAGCCTTCCCCTTGACTCTGATCTGGAAGGGCTCCCGCCACACAGATGGGCCCTGCGGTAGTCACCCTCCCTGCATTCTGAGCCCCTCCCCAGCTGGACCGTCTCCTCCCACCCCACACGGGGCACAGCGGGACGCCAGGAGACTCGGGTTCATGACTTAGGCAAGGACTCAGGGCACGGTTGGCCAGGGAACAGCAAGACCCGGGTCCGCTCGGAACTTCTCACTGTCGTCTTCAGCGGCCCCCGGGGAACGTGCCACAGCAGCCCCAGGGCCACGTTTGACCGGGTCTCCCAAATGCCACCCGGGGCGTGACACCAACGTCACACCACTATGATGTGCCCGAGGGTGGAACAGCGGATTGGACGGCGTCACAGCCGCCTCCGCCTGGTGCCACTTTCGGGTCGAGGCGACGCGCGTGCCTTCAGTGGCAGGGGAAGAGACCAGCCTCATCTGGAAAACGGACAAGCCCGGCTCGGTGATCGGGCCTCAGGGTGGCCAGTCCCAACCTTCAAATACCACACTGCTTTCTTTTTACCCTAGAAAACCCCTTTGCCCAGGTGAATAAGTGCCAAATGGCCTAAGATTAAACCAAGAGGAATTACATTGTTTTAAACCATCCCACCGATCTTGGAGACAAATTCAGGTGGCATCCAGGGAAGCCACAAAATAGGGTATTGTAATGAGTAACAGCCCACGCCGGGAACAGCTCTCCTTGACGTCCTCTTTCCATCTGTATTGGTATTTTAAGCTCCCGGTAATCCCTTGAGGAAGGTGAGGCAGAAACTGTCCCCTTTTTTTATGGACGTGAAAGAAAAAAAGTCCAGAGTTCCAGAGTCGCCCGCAGCTTCACAGAAGAGCAGATGCAGCCTCAGGCTCCCTCTCTGGCGCCGGGACCCTTGGCCCCAACAGGTGCATAAGGCGTGTGCTCAGGGGCTGTGGCCCCGAGAACATGGGCTTCGGAGCCAAAACTGCTGGAGTCAGTTCTCAGCCCCACTGAGACCAGCGTGAGGGTGTCCCACGCGCCCTTGGGCTCTCGGAGACCCATATCATCAATAGCTAGGATAAGAGCACTGACAGCACAAGTGCCACCAAGAACACGTGGAATCTGGGACCTGCGGGGCTTGGTAAACGCTGCCAGCTTTCAGCTATGAGTTCCTATTGTCCTGCAGGTCGCCTCAAAACAATCACTGTCCAGGGGACCTGCTCCCTGCCGAGGCGAAGTAAGAGAAAGGATGCTTCTTACCTGCTCTGGCTCTTCAGATCTGATCACCACTGTCTCAGGTGTGACGCAAGGAATCCGAGGGATGGCTGGGGATTCCACCCTGTGTGCCGAGAACATTGGGACATCAAGGGATGATCCTTATGAGTAGCCCCCCTCTTCCTCGGAAGGCCTTAGTGAAACACTTCTGTACCCCCAGGATCACCTATCCGATTGGACCGCTCGCCACCACTTGAACCCCACTGGCACATGTGGTACATCCTGGCCTTCACACACTGACCAGCCTCCTCCCTCTGCCCCCATGCCTGTCCCCAGAGCCTGACTGTCCTGGCTGAGCGAAGGACCTGCCTCCTCTAGGAAGTCTTCCTGCATGCACCACCCCTGTTCTGCAGCCTTCGACCCCTTGGTGAGGGAACCCTCGCTCTGGCCATTACATCTTATTCTGCGTCACGATCTGTCCACTGGGTGTGTGTTTTGATTCTACCAATATATCTGTAGGTTCTCCGTGGTCAGGGTCCGAGTCTCAAGTTTCTTTCTAAACGAAGTTCAGTAAATACTAATCATAGTTTTCCTTCTCCTTGGTCCATTGCCCTATTTTGTATAAGCCCTGGGACCAAGCTAGCACACGTCTGTCTTTTCAGAAAATACCAAGGGCTCAGTGTTTCTAGAAAGTTGTCACTTTTAGATTCATTCACAAAGTCCCCGGGTGTGGCGATGCACCCACATCGCAATAGCTCACAGCATCTCAGGGAGGAATGAGAAACACAGGCAGACACAAACCCTCCGTGGGTCTTCCCTAATGGACAGGCCGACGGAGGGACGTGGCCGGCCTCTGAGGCCAGCTTGGCAAAAGTTCCTTTCTTTTTTTTATTATTTAAATTCTTTCAATTGAATGAAAGCTTTTAAAAATTCTGTAGTGCTTTGCAATTTTCAAAAGTTTCCCACACACGATTTCATATAATCCCACAATGACACACACCCCCTTTTTTGGCAATGGTTTCTAATGGCAATCTCCCTTGGTGGATTTTTTCTGGTGAGAAGCTGAGTGTGTGAGAGGGGGAGGGGTATGGAGACTGAGCGAGGAGAGAAGGAACAGTGGGGGGCAGGGACCCCTGAGAGGGTGGCTTGCGGTAGGAAAGACCTCTGCGCCTGCCTGGCACCCCTGGTGCAGGGCTGGCTCATCCTAAGGTACTGGACCAGCACTCCGTCCGGGCTCGGCCTTCCTGGAACCTTCCAGCTCTGGAATCTTCCTACTCAGTCCCCGGGGTGGACCTTGACCTACCCCGGTGTGAGCATTACTTACACTTGGTCCAGCTTCGGCACAAAATCCAGCAGCTCTTTCTCTTCATCTATATCCCTGGAATCCTGCTTCTCAGCCTTGAAGCCAACAAGTTCTTCCCCTGAAACCGCACAAGTTTAAGTGAGTGACAGGACGGAGATTCCCTCTTTCTTTTTCAAAAGAAAAGAGGGAATCTGCTGCTCTTCTCAACGCTCACCCCCAAGGAGTGGGGGAAGGTCTCAGATGTTCCAGGAGGACCATAGCAACGTCTTCAACCAGCCCTGACCCTGTTCCTCCAGCCCTGGTACCTGGAGTGGGGCAGCCAGCCCCTGATATCTTAGTCTGCACCAGGCTTTGGAGAAGAAAACAGTTCCCTCAAAAAAAAGAACTTTTTTTGCCTGACAAGTTCCACTTCAAAACAGCCCTTGTGGCGTGTGCAGTGACACCAAAGAAAGAGGTGCTTCTTTTCTTTTCCACACCACACGAGACAGAAGAATAAACGACTGTGGAACCAAACCCATCCATTTTGAGAGGCTCTAGGAACTTTAATAACCATGGCAGCTGAACCCTCATTATTTCCTAAGCGCATCACCAGGAGGTTCAAAGTCTGTCTGCAAACCAGACTGCCTCTTTGTTTCTCTTGCCTCCTTGAACTGGAGTTGGAGCCCTGGACCTTGCAGGGTCCTTTACTGCCCCTCAGCAGTGTGTGTCCTGGCGTTGTGATCTGGAGCCGACAGGATGGAATCACAGCAGCTCATGCAGTTATGATCACAGACACAGTGACATGGGCACAGACACAGACATGGACAGGTTGGAGCTGTCCGCCAGGGCACGGATTTACGGATGGAAATTTCCTGTTTTAGTCAAGCTCTGATTGTTATGAAAACCAGGGATGGATTAGTGAGATCTTGGATTGCTTAGAGTGAAATGCACTTGTGAGAATGGACCACAGGGAACAGAAAGTGTTTCATACCCATTATAGTTATATGAGCAGTTCCTGGAAAGCAAAGAAGAGCCAAGTTTAAGGATGGATAGGATTGAAGTCAGTTAAATTAAGAGGCATATCATCAAAGGGGATACAGGAGAGCTTTCATCACCTAGTTGACAAAACTACATGACCCCTGGGTTACTGATATGCAAGGGGCCAGAGAGAAATCTGATCCAGCCCCACCCTTTTTGTTTATCGCGATTTTTCTCTTCCAAGTTAAGTGGGAAGACAGGCTTGCCTGGGGCAGGAAAAATCCCATAAGTACCGGTGGCCACAGAAGTTGAAACTATAGTCATTTCATAATGACTGACTGTCGACCCAGCGGGTGGTTAGAAGAGCAGCTTATGAAAAGCAATTCTTCCAGATTTTAAATGAAACAAGCTTTGTTCAAAGCACAAGGAACACACCAAGTGGAATTTTATGACAGTTCCTTACAGCTCTGAGAGTTGACTGAGTTGAACCACAGTCCTTGTATGATATAGGCAGACACACATGTATTTGTGAAACTTTGTGGGATTTTATATTTTAATCCCTGCGATGTAGATTTCCTTCTTCTAAAATCACATTAAAGGGGTCTTTTGGATAACGGACAGCATCTTTAGAGCGTGGTTCTGTCCAGCTCCGACTAGGTCGGCAGAGGTGGGCATGCTGTCAGGTGCCCCGGGGCGGCAGCAGGGCCCCCCACCCCCGGAGTGTTCAGAGCCCCGACCACCCCTTTCAGCCTGACTTGACCCGGACGCGGTGTTGATCCCAGCCTGTACCTTCATCTTCAGAGACGTCCAGGATCTCATCCACCGTCTCGGGGAAGCTCATCCGGTGCTTGTCGCTGACCAACTAAAAGGAGAAAAAGCAAAGACTTCAACCCAAACACAGCAGTGGGCCCTTTCACCCATTCAGCAGTTACCTGGTTATGAGTGTGGAGACAGGAAGGAGACGGCAAAGGATGTTTGTCCCAAATGAAGAAAATGACAGCTAAGAGGGTCTCTGGGGTCTGGCAGGAACCGCAGAGGGATGAACGGAACCCCAGCTTCCCGGCGCCTGGTACCTGCCCCCAGTCCCATCCAGGGCTGCCCGCTCCGGTCTGGTGGCGGCCCCTACTCCTCCAGCCGCTAGGTGGCAGTAAAGACCCACCTGATGAAGGAGGAGGCCCGCCCCCCGTGCCCCGTCCCCAATTCTTTTGGCTCTGAGCTTCCCGCGGGAATCCTAGGACACCTAGGCTCCCTTTCCCGGGGTACCCCAAGGGGCGCCCTGCGGCCAGGCTGTGTGTGTCCGGGGTAGGGGTGCAGGGGAGGAGCAGACGTACCGCGACACTGGTTTCATCCGTGACAACCTTGAGCACGTCTGTTACAGAAATGTAGCCCAAGCGCTTGGCTATGGCCAGAGGTGTGGTTCCATTCTGGGGAGAACAGCAGAGGGAGGGCGAGGTCAGACCGAGCTCACGCCCCAATCGTTCGTACCCAGAGCAAGACCCCTGCACACGCGTGGGCCCAGATGTGTGTCGCCGACGCCCGCAGCGACGCTGCAGGGCGAGAGGAGGCCACGGTGCGCGAGCCTTGAATGGGAGCAGGGGAGATCTTACCACCAAAGTCAAGGGTGGCCAAGAGGAGAGCCAGAGGGAAGGTCAGGGTCAGGGGGGCACCAGATGCAGTTGTAGGAATAGGAGGGCACCGGGCAGTACTGCCCAAGGCTCCCAAGGCCGGTTCTTTGGGTGTCAGTTACTGAGCATTCAAATAGTTAAAGTAATCCACATACTTCAGTGAACTCTTCTCAGGCCAATCAGAAATCACGAGTCACCAGAAACAGGGGAGGGGCCTATTTCTACTCTGATTTTAAAAGGCAGAGCTAAGTGGCACTAAACGGATACTGAGGCTTTCTCTTCTTCTAAGTTCTCTGGTCCCAGGGTGTGCCCCGCTCCGATTCAGCCCCATCCACAGTTACACGGTTTCAGCAACCGCACCTACAATCAAAGGCCTGCATGCTTGCTGAGCTGGAAGCGGCCGCGGCGATAACCTAGTAAAGCTGACAATCGCGTTATCCAGGGCAGGAAGTTCACCCTGAACTGTGACCACGGACATGGATGAAGACCCCGAGGCCCCCAAACCTCACACACCACTCAAGACATTTGGCTTTGTTCACTCCCACAGATTTCAGAAAGGGTTTTGACAATATTTTAAAAAACATAAAAAGGGGGGAGGGGAAACAGTGCTACCAGGATAACCTTGTGTCTTCCAGAAGGAGGAACTAATCCCAACAGCCCACGCCCTGGGGAGCCCGTCCAGGCCCCAGACGCACAGGAGGATGACCCGAGCTTCCCTGGTGAAGGGATATCGCATGCGGCTGCCCGTGAGAGCAGGTCTCTGAAATCAGGAACCGGGCGGGTACTTACCGAGCTGACCTCGTTTGGGGAAGCACCATTTTTGAGAAGCAGTGTCACGATGTCTGTATGGCCTTGTTGAGCTGCCTGGTGCAGGGGACTGTATCCGAGCTGTAAAGCAGGCAGACGTTTGGCAGGATGAGCTAGCTACGAGAGAAAGCACTGCCCACCTGCCACAGAGTGTGTGCGTCTTCTGTGTGCAACGTAGAAAGGCATTTTCCCCATTTCCTCCTCCAGCGTCAAAGCTGAAAGTTGTGGTGGGGCCCCAAGTGCGCCCGGAGTGACCCTGGCTGCATCTGAACTTGGCACTGCTCTCAGGCATCCCAGTACCTTAGTCTTGGCATTGACGTCCGCCTGGTGCTGTAGCAGGAACTTCACCAGCCTGATATTCCCATAATGGCTCGCCACGTGGAGTGGAGTGTAACCCATCTGGAAAGCAAGAGAGGAGACAGGGTGACCAGCAAGGCTTCAGGGGACACCACGAGCCGTTCTGAGCTGGACGGGAATGAAAGTCTCACGACAGCGGTGACTGAAAGAGAGGATGGACGAGGAGGCCCTTTGCAAGGTCGGCAGTGGGGCACCACGGGCCTGGGAGGGACAGGGCTCGGTGTCAGTCAAGTGCAGTGTGAGATGACTAGGAGAGACCCAAGTGGAGAGGTTAAGTAGGTGACTGGAAACCCGACACTGAGCCCGGGGAAGAGGGCAAGGCAAGGAGGCACCTGAGGGGAGTTGAAAGTCTTGGAGGTGAGAGAGGTCCCCCAGGATAAGTGTGGAGAGAAAAAGTGGGGCCCATGGACTGAGGCAGTACTTACAGGGAGGTCAGAAAGGAGGACGGGGAGGGAGCAGCAAAGAGGAGGGAGGAAAGCCAGGAGAGGCCCGTGTTACAGAAGCCAAAAGGGGTCACCCCCAGAAGGAGGGAGCCGCCAGCAGACCCTGGGAGGGCAGCAGACTCAGATGAGCACAGACAGCAGTGCAGAGATCACTGCCGACCCAGACAAGACCTGCTTTGCACACCTATTTCCACTAGAAAGCTGAAATCCCACTGAAAAACTTCCCAAAAGGCTGTCTAGGTTACAGAGTTGTACCATAATGGAACTTATAGGAACTGGCCATGGCTTTGGGCATTTATTCATTTGAGTTTTGTCTGCAGAGGAGGTAATTGTCAAGAAAGCCATTCTGCTGACTATTTTAATGCTCCCTCCAAACGCCAACAAGCCAAGGCTCTCTGGGCTCCTAAGTGTCCCTGGGGAGCCCGGTCCCAGAGATGATCTGGACCCAGACCCTGCAGGCTGGACCTGGAGTGATGGGATGGCTTTGGGACCCCCAAGTTCTAACCCACAACATAAGATCTCTCAGGGCAGGACCCCAAAAGACTAAACCAGGCCCACAAAAGAAGCCTCAAAGATCCAGAACATTCTTGAGTTTAAAGCAGGTTCCTTTTGAAGCTATAGGCAGCTGGGGATAAAATATGTCTCTGGATTTTTCTCAGGGAGGCTTCAATGTCACACTGCTGCCCGATGTGCTTGAGGAACACTGGAAGGGGCTGGAGCTACAGGGGCGTCACTCTGTCCCTTCCTTTGAATACAGTTGCCTTTTGGTGAAAAGGAACAAAATGCCACTTCTTCCAGGAAGCCTCTTCCTTCCACCAAATGGAAACACCCTCTCCTCCCTCTGTGCTCCATGGGTTCACGAGAGGCCCCCTTGCACCACATGTCACACCGGCTGTCCCTTCCTGCCTCTTATGTCATCTGCAGATGCCTTGAGGCTCATTGCACTGTGCGCTGGGCACTGGGTCATCCTCCACCCAACCCCCACCCCCGGAGCTCCCTGCACACACAGAGGCTCAAAGAATGCTGACCTGCTTTTAGCCAAATGCCAGAGGAGAAGGGGCGGAATTTTCCAGCACATCCTGACATTTTGATACCTTGCTCATGTAAGACAGGGCTTGGAATCATGATTAAACTTCTTTTCACTACAGAGGATCAAAGGTCTAGCCAACTTTTTAGACTCCCCACTGGAAAGTGAGCCCATTGGCCTGGGGTCCTCAAACTCCACTGCCGCCCCTAGGAAGTGGCAGACAGGAATGGGCCACTGGGTCCTCGGGGTATCAAATATCCTCAGATGGACCAGTGATGGAGGCCGGAGTGGGTAGGCCTGTGGGTGCAGGGGGAAGAGGGGAGTCCCCGTGGACAGAGTGCCGGCTGCTGGCCTTACCCGGGTGGTGGCATCCACCGTGACACCATGTTTGATCAGCACATCTGCCACTGGAACGTGACCTTCTTGTGCGACCAGATGAAGGGGAGTGAGTCCACTCTGGAAAGGAAAAGCAGTTCATCAGCTTGGAGCCAGGAAAGAATTCCAGGCGACACTGAAAGAGCACTGAGGTTTGGGAGTCGAACTTGGCTTTGCACGCTCCAACCAGTTGTTTGACCTTAGACAAGCTCTTCTAGCCCCGCCCCCCCATCCTTAACTAAAATATGAGGTGGTTAGACTGAATCAGAGGTCAGCAACAGTTTCTGTTAAGGGCCAGATGGTCAATATTTTAGGTTTGTGTCTCTCTTGCAACTACCCAGCTCCGTCAGTTATAGTGAGAAAGCAGCTATGCCAACATGTAAATGAATGGGCATGACTGGGTTCCAATAAAACTTTATTTGTACAAACAAGTGGTGGGCCAGATTTGGACCCCAGGCCGTAGTTTGCTGATCTCTGAACTAGATGAACTTTATGATCCTTTCCAGTGGTAACATTTCCTATTTCCATGACTCGAGATGAGCTTCAAAGCCTTGGTTTGCTTATCGAGAAAATCGGGATTATAACTGACGAATCTCAAGGGCAAAGGAGGGCTCACTTGAGAAAACAGACGAAAATGCATTGTAAACCACGACGTGACATTTAAATGCAGCCTGTGATCAGCACATCCCAGCCAGTAAACAGGGTGGAGGATCCTGCTGGGACCGAAACCCCCAGATTCTTGGAGTTTTCATCACAGCTTTCTCACGAGGATGGTGATGCTCCAGTGATCTTGACTGACACGTGCGCATTCACGCAAAAATGCCAGGAAAGGCTTCCCTCCCCCGGAGCCCGCTCAATACGCCTTACTAACCGTGGGACAAACAGGGCTGCAGCTCCTCTGTCATCGGAGCCAGTGGGCAGGGCCTGCCCCCTCTCCAGAGACTCCACTCGCCCTCCCCTGCCGTCTGCGCTTCCCCCGAGGCTGATGGGAGGCCCAGTGGTGCGCCTGCCTAGCTGAAGCCTGTGCAGGCAGGTGGGGCTGCCCATATAAGAACAGGTCCTGGGTCGGTCACAAGCGTCCGGGTGCCTTGCCTGATCCTTGGAATAACACAGTAACCTGACTGGTGAGTGTGGATGTGGATGAGTGGGGATGTCTCAGGGCAGGGCACCCCCATTCTCCTCCTGGCTCATTTAAATGGCACCAGCAAGAAACCAAGAGTCCTGTCCAACACAATGGTCCTGCCCTAACAGTTCCCTCCTGGGGGTCACCTGTCCAAAGCTGTCCAGATAGAGCCAATGGATCCACACGTTTTTAAGAAATCTTAAGTTACCCTCAAAATGCTTGCCTTTCTGAAACTGTATTATGTTCATTTGTCGTCTAAAGAAGTGACTCTTCATATCGTATGATTCCATTTGTACGAAATGTCCAGAACAGGCAAATTCATAGTGACAGAGAGTAGATTAGTTGCCAGGGGATGGGGGTTTGAGGGAAATGGGATGTGGCTGCTAATGAGTCTGAGGCTTCCTTTGGGGGTGATGGAAAAGTTCTACAGTTAGACAGTGGTGGTGTTTGTCCAATTCTGCAAATAGACCAAAAACCCACCGACTAGTACAGTTCAAAAGAGCGAATTCTATGGTACGTGAATTATATTTCAATAAAATTGGTGTTTAACAAAAGAAGTGACTCTTAGTCTTTCTTGGGTCATGCGTTCTTTTGAGAAGCTGATGAAAACCATGAGGGTGTCCCCTGGGAAACGGCTCCCACGCCCATCCTCCCACATGCCAGGTACACCACATAGAGGGTTTCCTGCTCACACGTCAACAGTCCCTGGACTGAGACTCCATTGAAGGGACAGGTTGGCACTGAAAACAATATCTTCCTCACAGAAAAAGAATATTTAGTCCCAGCTTACTTAGTACATTCCTGAATGTAGACACTGGCCTATACTTGGGAAAGCATGCAATGGATTTCAGTAGTGATCTTTTTGTAGATTCTTGAGTCAACCTCTTTAGAAAGGACCAGCCAAAGCTTTGGCATCAGGTAGGCTTGGGGTCCTGCAATCTTGGAATAAGCAACCTTTCTGAACTTGTTTATTCATTTACAAAACTGAGATAAAACCTACACAGGGGGACTTCCCTGGAGGTCCAGTGGTTAGGAATCCACCTTCCAGTGCAGGGGACGGGGGTTTGATCCCTGGTTGGGGATCTAAGATCCCACATGTCACGGGGCAACTAAAGCCCGCGAGCCGCAACTACTGAGCCCATGCGCCACAACTAGAGAGAAGCCCACACACTGCAACGAAGAACACATACACACACACACGCGCGCGCGTGCACATCACCTGATTCAGAACCGGGGCACACAGCAGGTGCTTGGTCCTGAGGTGCAGTGTGTCGTCAGCTGACCCCCTAATGTGATTGAGTCTGTAGGGATATTTGCAAACGCGTGTTTACCTTGTTGCCCAGGTTGCCGTTGGCCTGTTTGGAGAGCAGGAGAGCCACCATGTCCGCGTGACCCTCCTGGGCCGCCAGGTGGAGGGGTGTCACGCCTTGCACGGACTCTGCGTTCGCCGAGCCCCCGTACTGCAGCAGGTTGCGGGCCACCTCCATCTGGTTCTGCTTGGCAGCGATGTGCAGAGGGGTGTAGCCGTTCTGAAATAGAAGGGGCCACCGGAGCCTGGTTACAGGAGTGCTGAGTTGACAAGCTTAGCACATGCCTTATGTTTTAGATCCTCTGAGGAGGGGCCAGGAGGCCTGGTTCAGGGCTGGTGTCACCTGGGAGGGCCATTCCAGTAAACAAACCAACCAACCGAGTCCATTTGGTTTGGAGAGGCTCCCAGAGCCAGCAAATGCCCTACCCGTTCTCTCCATCTATCTTCTGTGCACAAGGTGCCCTGTCCCCAACAGATGCTAGGATTCAACCAGGCAGCAGGCCTACAGAACACCCAGCAAGCTAGGCACACAAGTAAATGAAAGGCTTCCATGCCCTCTTTCCTACAGTAAGAAACATGCCCCCCAAAGCCAGTTCATAGAGGAAAAGGAACAGAGCCCTTCTCTCCTCGTGATGTTGGGCCAAGAGCTCCCCCTGGGCCTGGTGGCTTCAGGCAGGTGGCGTTAAGAGTACATGTCCCCAGCAAGGGACCTGGGGCTGTGGAGTCAGTCCTTGGTCCACTTTAACCGGCCATGTGACTAGGGGCAAGATGGTCAACTAGACTTCCTTTCGTATTTTTTAAGCCATTGTAAGAGGACAGTAACATCTACCTTGTTCTTAAAGCTGTTGAATGGATCAAATATGATAATATATGTGAAGGTGCTTTCCAAAATTGAGATATAAAATTAATAAAACCTTTGTATGGTTTTGCAGTGCCCTGGTTCACAAATCTGTTAAGTCCGTTATGAGATGAGGAGATTGGTCCCACAGTAAATCAGCTACGTCACTGTGCACTCTCTATTCAGCTGGCTTTCCTTTCCCCTTTGTCTTGGGAGGAAGACTTTCTCAATGAAGGAAGCAGTGCATGGGAGCAAACTCCATACCCCACTGCAGGCAGCCTACTTTGATTATCACTGTTGGAAACCACTTCCACCTACATTATCCTTTTTGAGCTTCACTGCAACCCACGTACAGCAAGTAAGACTGGCATTTTTATTACTACCCTGCTTTCTGGATAAAGAAGCCAGTTCTCGGAGAGGTTAAACGCCTTTTCTAGTGTCACATAGTAAGTGAAACAACAGAGAACCCAAGTCTGGTCTTGTGACTCCAGATTCCAGGTTCTTTCAACTGGAGCAAGATTCCACTTGGAATCTCCATAAAATGCAGATTCTGACTCAGACGGTATAGGGAGGCCCTGGACTCTGCATTTCCAACAAGCATATGGGTAAGGCTGATGTTGTCGGCCACAAAGCATTCAGGGCTAAGGGGGATGCCAGGCCTGAGGACCCCTGTGCTGGACCCAGGAGTTTCCAAGCATATGCCCACCCAGTCCCAGAGCAGATGGCATAAGGCATATGGTCTCCTGCCACGGCCAGCATCCTTCTGGCCATCCCACAGAACTGAATCTCCTTTGCCAGCCACTGCCTTATTGTGGAAACCAACATTTCTGATTCTGCCAGGATCCACTGATCAGGAAAAAGAAACAGAAAAAAAGGGGCTGACCAATACAGTAAAATCCCAGTTTAAAGCACTGGGGGACAGAGTGAGATCCATCTGTCTGCAAAGTAGATTTTGGGGAAAGGAAAGTTGTCATCTACCCAAAGAATAAATTGAATAATAAAAATCATTCTCTCTGAGTAATTATGTAAGATGATTCATCCTACTGTTCCTCCTTTTAAATTTGATTATGTTATGAGAAAACATTAAATTCTTTGTAGGTTGTGTTCCCCTGACAAGATTGGCATTTTGACTGTAATAAAATTAATTAAACAAAATGAGTTTTGTACTGTATCAAAAGGGAGCAAAGAAAAGAGGTGTGGTTCAGTGGATCAGGCCTGAGATTTGGAGTCATCCCCAAATGGAGATCCTTCTCTCTGAGTATCAGAGAATCTTCCGACTCCAGAGCCCAGGTCTTTTAGCTGGAGCTGTGCTTCTCAAACTTGAATGTGTATGAAATCACTTGGGATCTTGGTAAAGTGCAGATTCTGACTGGGGGGCCCCAGATTCTGCATTCGTAACAAGCTCCCAAGTCAGGATGAAATGGGGTGAGGCTGCTGCTCACCTAGGGCGCGGACTGCAGCTTGCCTTCCATTCCCTGCCTGGAAGCAAGGATTATTAGGGCCTCTTTTACTGAACAAAGGACAGGAACTTGAGTACTTATTCACGTTAGCATTATCAGGAGTCCAGGCCACTTGGGCAATGGAGGATGTCCGCACTGGAAGAACGGCATCCCGTCCAGGTCAGGCTGCCAGGTGACCCGCAGTTAAAACCAAGATACAAGAACAACCGTCAGTCTCAGATCAGGGACCAACCCCTGTGAGCTTTCTCCAAGCTGGGACTACAGGGCATGAATGACCTTCTGTAGGTGACAAGGACAAGGGGCAGGGAGGCAGGAGAGTCGGGGTGGTGGTGGGGGGAAGATTCAGGAACAGTGTGAGCCAGTAAAAGGCTCCTCTTTCCCAAGGAAATGAGCTCGTCCAAAGGAATGCGCACACTAGAGAGAGATCTGACTAAACATTAAAACAACATTAGCATCAAAATTAGAAAGGGGTGGGTTTGGTTTGGGTGCAGAGAGACTTGCATGTGAGATTCTACAAAATTGCCAGACTGCTTTGGAAACTATTTTTTGCCATGGAAACAAAACCCATCTGTGCAGGGTTTGTACTTGGATAAAGCTCCCTTTAAATACCATGAGCCTGGTTCTGATTTCTTTTATATAAGGAGCGGTGTGAGTCCAGCGTTTTATTTTTAGAAGCAGGAGTAAGTCATGTCCCAGCAGGGCTGCACGCTGTCTACACAGTGATGTGGGCTCTGCTACAACAGCGTGGGACCAGAGCCCAAGGAGAAGGGGTGTCTGGGAGATGCTGCGTCTGCAGGAAAGTGAGGCTGTTAAAATTCAGATGAGCATCCATTCTGAGAGGGGAACTGAAGCCCCGCCCTGACTTTCCCTGCGTCCCCATGGAAGTCAGCAGGTGTCGGCTGGAATCACACTCTGACCCACCCATGGCTCCCTCCTGCCACAGGGCTGAGCACTGTGGTGCGCTCAGGGACCGCGATGTCCTTTGCACCCGAGCCCTGCCCCCTCTCCTCGCCCCTCATCTGCGTGGCCACCAGCCCCCTCGGCCCCCCTCCCCTCACAGACCCTGCACACCTTCTCACCCCACAGGAGACGGCCTGTCCCCCCAAAATGATCCTCGCGCTCAGCTTTATCCCTGTACCTCGTACAGCACCTTCTCAGTCCACTCTTACATAAGCCCCATCCACTCTCTACACTCCCGGTCCCTCAGGAGCGATGCACCACCCATGGCTCTGAGCATCTCAGGGGCTGGTGTGAGGGTGCACGCCGGCCACACCTCAACGTGTAAGGTGTGTACAGAAACGGTACCATCTCAGAGCCGGAACTCCAGAGAGAAACAGATTTGGGGGGAGACTCCGCATTCAAGACAGGTTCCTCGCTCCAAGGTTCTGGTGAGTTCACCCCCAGCCCTGAATATTCTCCAGGTGTGGCCCTGGTCCTGGAATCCACGAGCACGCTGTACATGCTGACCTCTGACACCAGTTTGGGGTACACATTAGTTGTGTAAAACGAGCTCCACATCTGCGAGGTGACCTGTGGCTGAGAAGTGTTCCCCACTTCCCGGCCCGCTCCGGTTCCCAGTCAGCAGCCATCGCACTGCAGGTAATCGGGCTGCACAGCCCTCCCTGAGGGGTGGCGGCCGCCTGCTGTCCCGGGGTGGGGACAGGGTGGGGACGGGGTGGGGGCCAGGAGGCTTACCCAGGCCACGCTGTGCGGGGAGCTGCCCCGGGGCAGCAGCAGCTTGACAATGTCCAGGTGGTTGTGGTGCACGGCGACATGCAGGGGCGTCAGGCCATTCTGCGGGGAGATGGACAGGGGACAGCCTTCACTCAGGGGACATCCCCCTGGCCATGCCTGTGGCTCCAGGCAGCGCCACGTGGGGATCCGTATCACTTCTGTTACACAGGAAATCTGCTTGACACCATTTCAGAGCCAGTCTGGAGCTGAAGTCACTAAAGAACACACCAGCTGGACCTGGGCCACCTCCGCATTCCTGGGGTCGCCTCCTCAGTCCTGGGGCCACTGCCTCATTCCTGGGGGGTCATCTCCTCAGTCCTGGGGGGCCACCTCCTCAGTCCTGGGGTCACCGCCTCAGTCCTGGGGTCACCGCCTCATTCCTGGGGTCACTGCCTCAGTCCTGGGGGGTCACCTCCTCAGTCCTGGGGTCACCGCCTCAGTCCTGGGGTCACTGCCTCATTCCTGGGGTCACCTCCTCAGTCCTGGGGCCACCTCCTCAGTCCTGGGGTCACCTCCTCAGTCCTGGGGCCACCTCCTCATTCCTGGGGGGTCACCTCCTCAGTCCTGGGGCCACCTCCTCATTCCTGGGGGGCCACCTCCTCAGTCCTGGGGTCACCGCCTCAGTCCTGGGGGGTCACCTCCATTCCTGGGGGTCCTAGGGGCTGATGGGGCAGTGCAGCAGCCTCGCTCAGAGGGGCCACCGGGTCTTTGTAGAAGGGCAAGGCCTCTGTCAGAAAGATCTGTCTCCCCAGAGGCCATTCTTCCTGGACGGCTGCCCATTCGCAAGGGGGACACAGTCGGCTCAGGCAGAGATGACCACCCAGGTGCAGCTGCCCCTCTGCCCCGGGTCCACCCTGGCAGGAGGGAAGGTCAAGCTCACCTTCCCGGCGGCGTCTGGGTGCGCGTCATGCTCCAGCAGCAGCTGTGCCACACGCACCTTCCCGTACTTGGCCGCCACGTGGAGAGGGGTAAATCCTTTCTGAGGAGAAACACAGGCCGTCAGAACCGTGGGGAGGCCCGCCATCCTCCCTGGAGAAAGGGCCCACGGCAAAGGAGGTGTCCCACCCCGACTGGTGTGGAGATGCCAGTAGAATAAAGGGCGCAGAAAGTGTGATCCTGCTGAGACTCCCAGAGCCCAGGGGGCTGCCACCTGCCCCTCTCGTGACGGAGTCAAAACCACTGGTGCTGTTATTTGACAGCCAGCTAGTTGCGGGCAGGGCCTGGGCCACCAGCCTTCTCGCATCCCAGAGCCTGTCTGGTCTGGCCAGAGCAGATCCTGAGCCATTCCATGATAAACAGACAAAGGCTGGTGGCTGGAAGAGAAACTACAGTTCACCTTCCTGGGGAAGGACGGGACACATCCAGCTCACAGGTGGCGGCCAGTCCTGTGGGTCCATTCCTCCCAGCAGCCCTCAGCACAGTCAAGGCAATACAGAGGACCAGATGGGAACGCCCTCCCCTGCCCCAGGACCCGCTGGGACGAGCCTGCCGCTCTGGAGAACGGGAGGAGGAATGCTGTACCTTGGTCATGCACGCCTGGGACGCCTCCTTTTCCAGAAGGGCCAGGGCCGTTTCCACGTGGCCCTCTCGGGCCGCGATGTGCAGGGGGGTGTGCCCGGCAGTGGTGGCCAGGTTGGGGTTGGCGTCATTTTCTAGCAGGAGCTTCACCATGTTTGTGTGGCCAATGCGAGCTGCACAGTGAAGTGGGGTCTGGTCATCCTGGAACCCAAAGCAAAAACGAAGAACAGGGAACGCTAAGGTTACCTAACCCAACTCTTCATTTTATAAAGAAGGCAGGTGAGGCCCAGAGAGGTTAAGTGACTTTCTCAAGGCCACACAGCTAGTAAGAGGAAGAGCTGAGGTTCAAATCTCTGAGTTATGGGAACCAATATGTTCTATATTATTTAATCCTTATAACAACTTTTCAAGTTAGTTGTTATTCCTACTTAATTGCCCAAAGGCTCAGCCTTCCCATCTGTAAAATGGGAATAATGGTATTGACCTCATAGGGCTATGGTTAGGATCAAGCAGACAGCGTGTATAAGATGTTTCACACCACGTTTGGCACAAACTATACATTGTGGTTGCTCTTAACGGGCAGACCTCGGAGACATTGTGGGCTCAGTTCCAGACCACTGCAATAAATTGGGTAACAGAGTAAAGCGAGTCACATGAATTTTTTTGGTTTCCCCGTGCATATAAAAGTTATTTACACGCTATTACACTCCATTATGTGTGCAATAGGATTATGTCTAAAAAATACACTTACCTTAATTAAAAAATACTTTACTGCTAGAAAAATGCTATCCACCTGACAATACGGGGTTGCCACAAAACTTCAAATTGTAAAAAACACTTTATCTGCAAAAAACACTTTATTGCAAAAAACACTTTATCTGCCCACACTAAAGTGAAGGGCAATCAAACAAGGTGAACTGTACTGTCTCCCGAGTCCTGGCTAAGAGTCCACTTGTCTTTCTGTCTGAAGGCTACTCTGGTTTTCTCTACGCCAGGGGCAATGGGAGGGTCAGACCTGGGGAAAGATGACTTTTCATCCCAGCTCCCGCCCCCCCCCCCGCCCCTTCCAGTTTCCTCCGGAAGCTGAGGGGGTCAGTGGGCAGGGTCTCTGTGTTACTGGGCCCAGCTAGGGGCCTCCCTCACGTGGCTCAAACCCAAACCACAGTCCTGACACTAAACAGAGGCTCCGCGGTCTGTGCGGTAAGAAAGCCTGATCCTGGCCAAAGCCAGATTGCAAACTCGGCAGCTCTTCTTACCCTTTGCTCACTCAGTACCTCAGAGATGCCTTTTACATCGCGAGGGCATCTTGATTTTCACCGGCAACGCTTTCTTCAAAAAGTTGCTTCTCTTCTGACACTGTGACTGTAACCACCACGCAACCTTTCAGCCCGCCCCGCCCCCCCCCCCCCCCCCCGCAATACTGTTTCTTGGCCTTTTGTTGATGCCAACACATCTCTGGGCTTCTCAGAACCCTTGCAAAGCAGAACCGGAGTGTGTGCTGCAACCAAGCAGGTGTGACAAGGAATCTCGGCACCATGAGCCCTGCAGCCCGGTCTCCGATCAGGGAGGATTGCTCCTCCTGCGCTTGAATTGCTTCCGTCTGGGATCCCTCCCACCTCCAGAACCCACCTTGGCCTTGGCATTGACTTTGGCTTTGTTCTGGAGCAAATATTTGGCCACTTCCGTGTGTCCTGCTCTGGCTGCCATGTGTAGCGGGGTCTCCACTTTCTGTAAAATAACAAAATTATGGAAGTGTTAACACCTGCTGGGTTTGCAAAAGGGCACACACAGAGCTCCGCAGTGCCAGCCTGGAGTAGCTTGGCGGACATTCATCCAAGAGGTGGAGGTGCCCCAGCAAAAAGCAACTTCAGCCTTTAGTCTGCTGATGCCTGGTGTGTGTGTGTGTGTGTGTGTAAGATACACTTAAAGGTAAACCCCAGAGCTAGGGAATGTTTAAAAACATACATGTATTCCCAGATACCACTCACAGAAATTCCCAAATGATCGTCCAAAATAAAACCCCCAAGACTTACACATGGGTGACACATTTAACTGAGAAAGCGTCAGTACGTACAGTCATCTCCCCAAGTCTGAAGCGCCTGCTATTCTGAGAATTCTACCTCTGTCCTCGAGAGGAGAGCTTGGGATCGCTGGCAAACGCTCGCCTCTGAGCCCTCCGTCCACAGGAAGGGCCTGCTCTCCCCACAGACTCACCACATTGGAGACGTTGGGCGATGCTTCCCGCTGCAGCAGGCTCTTCACGATGGGCAGGTGCCCCATGAAGGAGGCCACGTGGAGAGGTGTCAGGCCAGACTGGAACAGACCAGACAGGAGTGAGACGGAGGAGACTTGCCCACTCCTCCAGACACAGCCAGATGGAGCTTAAGCTTTCCTGCCTCTAGGGGCTCCAGAAGAGTCTTCCAAGGAAAGGGAGTTCTATGAAATGGGTCTGCTTCTAGGAAAATGGCCGGAGGGGGAAAAAAAACACTGCAGGGTGATTCCACCCACATGTACAACTCAAAACATTTTGCATCTGACCTTGGACAGCTCCCTGAGATCTGACACCAGCTCCCGGTCTTAGCGACCCCTGATGTATTCCTGAGAGTTCTAGACTAGCACACACACACACACACACACACACACACACACACACGCAGCCACAAAGAACAACTCTCAAGATGGCTATTGGAAGAAAGCCCGCGGAGACCGTCCACTCGTCTGCGGAGTTTCTCCTACCTCAGTGACAGCATCGATGGAGGCCCCCGTCTTCAGCAGCAGCTCCATGACGCGGATATGGTTCTTCTTGCAGGCGATGTGTAAGGGGGTAAAGCCATTCTGCAGCCCCACACAAAGGGAGACAGGCAAGCAGGGGCTCACACTCAAGCCCAAGGAACACCCAGACCACCCTGCTGATGAAAAGGCAGCCCCTGCCCAGCCTAAACGTCAATCACTGTGCATCACGGAAGAGGCGGGTGGCTCTCACTATGCACCAGGCGAGGTCCTGGATATGTTGTCTGTAAACCCTTTTTCCAAATTTAGTCACATTTTTGGACGCACTGAAAGAGCCTGCCGTTTGAAGTTTCCTTAAGGGGAAATTTACAGTAAAGAGAACTGCTGTGAAGCCCAGCAGGTTCCCTGAAACCGCCGTGCGTTTCTAGTCAAGTGGATTTCTGCACCTCAGCCCTGCTTGAACACGATACGCTAGGATGTAAACTCCACCAGGGCAGGGATTTCTGTTTGTTCGCGGGGTTTTGCTAGTCTGCTTGTTTTTTCAGTGCTTTAACCCCTAGGGCAGTGGTTCTCAATGTGAGGGGAGGGGATTTTGTCTCACCACCCATCCCCCGCCCCGGGACACTTGGCAATGTCTAGAGACGTTTTTGATTGTCACAAGGAGGGGAGGAGTGCTATTAGCGCCTAGTGGGCGGAGGCCAGGGATGCTGCTAAACATCTACAACAAAGAACATCGGGCCCCAAATGTCAGTAGTGCTGAGGTTGAGAAACCCCGACTACCCCAGACAGTGCCCGGCAAGTGGGGACTGCTCAGTGAAAGCTTTCTGAACAAATGAATGAATAAATGAATGAACGAGCCATCCTGGCGGCCTGGAGGCTGTCCGGCCTTCTAAATTCTCCTCCTCTGGGAATGGGCAGAGGGAAGATGGCGGGTGTGGGCAGGCTCCGTGCAGCGCTCCGGCCCCGCCAGCAACTTCCCCGGGAGCCCCCGGCCTGGGGCGAGCGAAAGGAACCACAGTCCCAGGAGGGAATTTGCTTTAGGCCTGAACTCACCTCTGCTCAAGCACCATGACCACTGTGAGCCCCTCTGCAGAGGAAGGATGCTTAGCTGAGCCCATTTCACTCGCCCCCAAAGCAGGTCAAAAAGCCAGGCAGTCGCTAGAAATCACCAACCCTCAGCTCTGGGCACAGACGGGAGTGACATCCCGCATACCTACCGCACACACTGCTTGTGAGTCAGGTGTCCTGGGCCCAAACCCACCCAGACCTCAGCCTGTTACGGGGGCTCAGTCATTATGTGTGGGATGCGGCAGGGAGTAAGGTCACATCCGCCGGTGCACTGCCACGCCCCGCGGGCCTCAGCGCCCCGCCCCCCGACACTGTCCCCGCCCTGAGTCTCCAGGGCAGCTCCAGGCACCAGTGGGTACCTCCCTGGGGGGCTCAGCCATGCAGCTCTGGCCCTAGCCCCTCTGGCACCTTTTCCGATAGCCTCCTACTCACCAGGGCTCTGGAGTTTGGTTTGGCCCCTTTATCCAAAAGGACCTTGGCCACCCTGTGGTGGCCGCAGTGGGCAGCCACGTGGAGCGGGGTCAGGTGGTCCAGTGTGATGTCGTCTATCTCTGCATTGTATTGCAATAGGAGTCGGACACAGTCAAGGTGGTCTCCCTGAGCCGCCATATGGATTGGGGACAAGCCATTCTGGTGAAGAGGGAAAACAACCAGTTGCAAAGGAAATGAACATGGAAATTCAAGGCAGGCAATGATTCCAACCTCACTTCCCACCTCCTCCCTACACAGGGCTTCCATGTGGCTCCCGGGTGAGCCTGGTTCATTCCGGCCTCCGCGTTCCTGCTGGTCTCTGATTGCAAACCTCCTTCTTCTCACCCCGCCAAATCCTCCAGGCCAGCTCTAGCCAGGCCCACCTCTTTCACGAGGCCTCCTCTGGCCACCTTTGATTCCTGTGGGCTTTTCTCATCTGTACCCCTCACTCGGACCGTACTTATATACTTGCCGAATTGTTTTCATAATTAACTTTTCAGGTGTATGTATCTTCTCTCCTTCCTTAGAAGCTTCTTAAGATCAGTGACTGTGCCTAGTATCTCTTACACGCCCCACGCATGCATGTAACACACACAGTGGTCCTTAATCAGTGTGGTCTTGAATGAATGAATGATGCTAAAATGGAATTTGGATCTAAAACCCTCCGTTCTTTGTCCTTGACAAGTGCACATCACTTTAAAAAACTGTTAAGGATCCTCACTATTTCTTAAATAGCAATTTATTTCAAACAATTAAAGACAGAGAAGACTCACTCATTCATTCAGACATAAATTCAGCAAATATTAAGTGATTAAAGTGCATCAGGTATGGGATAAGCTCTGGGGAAACAGAACAGACAGAATTCCAGGCCAAGGAAGCTGGCAGACTAGTAGGTTAAAGATGGGAAAAGAGATACATTGTTGTCACTCCGTGTGGTGACATCAGGAAGGCCTGATAAAGCACAGAGGAGCAGGGGAGTGTGGAGTCATGATGCGGTCGGGGGGACATGGGGAGAGAAGGCTTCCCAGGGAGGTGATCCCTGAGCTAGGATCTTGCCAGGAAGACGACACAGAAAGAGCATCCCCGAGAAGGGAATGGCGTGTGCAGTGCCACAGAGGCAGCCGCCCTGGGACCCAGGGAGCTCCATGCAGGTAAACACGTGGGAGGCCAAGGGCATAGAGCTGGACACCAGGGGCAGGCAGGAGCTGCATCATGAAAGCCCCTGAGCGAGGAAACTGGGACGTTAGGTTTTAGCAAGAGACAACTGAAAGAAGGATTTTCAGCGAGGAAGAAACACAATCAAGCTGCATGATGGCTATTGTTAGTGATTGAATTGAACTGTGTCCCTCAAATTCACATGTTGAAGTCCTAAAGCCCAGGACCTCGTGATGTGGCCTCATTTGGAAACAGGATCATTGCAGATGTAGTTAGTTAAGATGAGGTCACTGGTGTAGACCTTAATCCAATATGACTGCTGTCCTTATAAAAAGGGGAAGTGTACACACACACACGACAGCCTGGGCCGTGAACATGACCCAGATTTCAGAGAGCTCCACTGAACACTCACATAACCCTCGGTCAGGGAATAAATTGCTCTTATGGTGTAGAATCTTATGACAGGGAGCTGCGCACAGAAAACCTCAGGAGTGGCCATGGGTGGGTCTGGTTTCTGCCTTGCTTTGCTCTGACCACCTTCTAAATTCACCCCAAGAATGAGGCAGTGGGCCTGGAGGCGGTGTAGGCAACACCAGGTAGTCTGACAGCTTTGGCCCCAGTAAGACTCAAGACCTCATGTTAGAACTGAGGGCTGGGCTTTTGCTCTGGCCCCGAAAGGACCTCGAGAAGAACCGTTTTGTTTTCTTTTCAATATTATCCAGTCCGGTCCAGGCTCTGAAGACTCCCCGAGTGCTTAGTTCCTGTCTTTTCTGGAGCCAGGGTAAAAGAGATGAGGCCTGATCTCGAGCTGTACAGACAAATGACAGCCCATGGGACAACTCCAGCCTGCTGCCTGTGCTTGGCAATAAAGTTTTACTAGAACAGGGCTGCTAGTTTGCACATTATCCACAGCTGCTTCCCCATTACAGTGGTAGATTTGAATTGTTGTGACATTGACCAGGGCCTGCAAAGCCTAAAAATATTTACTATCTGGCCCTTTAGAGAGAAAGGGTGCCAACCTTGATCTAGATAATAATTAGAGCTGAGTGCCTCCTGTGTGACAGACATTGGGGTCAACGTTACACACACTGGCTGAGTTAGTAGAATTAGCGTCTCTGTTTCTCAGAAATGGGATTCGACCCGGGTCGGCCTGACCTGGAGCCCTGCCTAAGAGATGCTCCTTGCAGAAAGGAAGCTCGCACCTTGGTTTTGGCTTGGATGGGCGCCCCGTGGTCCAGCAGGATCTCTGAGATTCGCAGGTGCCCATTCCGAGCTGCACAGTGGAGAGGTGTCAATTCATCCTTTAAAAGACAGTCAAAAAGAGAAAGCCCCAGAGGCACCCATCAGAGGTCACTGGAGAGAAGGCACTTGTGGCACCATTCCAGCCGGAGAGGCACGAGAAGGCTTCCTTAAGGACCAGCTCGATGGAGCAGTCTGGTCTCCAGCTGCCCCTGTGGGCTGTTCTAGAGGCTGGACGCCCTTCCCTAGCTGGTCACGGGGAGCCCACTACCTGGGTGGAGCCCTGGAAGGCAGCACTCGCTCCCCTGGCCTTGCCGGGCAGCTGGCTGGCACCCACCTTGGTCCTTGTTTCTATCTGGGCCCCGCGGTCCAGCAGAAGCCGCACCATGATCACGTTCCCCCTGCGGGAAGCAATGTGCAGAGGCGTGATGCCGTTCTGGAAGGGAGGAAGGGACTGGTCAGGGCGTGTATCCTCGTCTGGGAGGCAGCTGCTCTGCGCCCTGCTCCCCTGTGGCCCTGCCCCAGCCCAAGGCAAGCGGCCACTCAGAGCCCGCTGTTAGGACTCTTGTCGCCTAAGAAAGATTTCAAAGCCTCTAAGGACACGCCAGCCTCTTGGTTCATCACAGCAAGCTGGCTGAGCCCAGGTCCCCCAGAATCAAAAACACAGGCTGCAATTTCTTAGAAACCCATCCAGGGCTGCTTCACCCGCAGGCACGTCTGCAGTGCGGGGATGTCCTTGGTGCCACAAGAGGGGGGCACTGGGTTCTAGAGGCCCAGTCCCCGCACGCATGGGCGGCCTCACCAAAGGGCCTCACCTGGGGCGTGAAGTTGACACTGGCTCCCCGGTTGAGGAGCAGCTGGGCCACGTTGAGGTTCTCGTAATGAGCTGCGATGTGGAGGGGGGTGAATCCCGTCTGGCACACAACAGAGGGGGACAAGGCGTCACAAGCCACGTACTGTCATTTCTACCTCAGAATCAGCCTGGTGTTCTGAAAAGCCGGCAGGACCAGAGGACCTCACACAGCAGGCAGATTCAGAAGGAAGGGGTCAAGAGATGTCCCACGTCAATTACATCCAAAAGTGAGGTGCTACCTCTGGGGACACCCAGTCTCCGTGGTTCACATGGACAAACCATGGACCAGGGTCGCCTCCACCCTGCAGGCAGGGCCCGTTCCTCTGAACGGTTACTTCTGAAGAGATTTTAATGAATGAGTGAGAAGTGTTATGGGGTCCATGACCTTAATCCTCGGGACGGTTTCAGCCCCCATAGGGGTGCGGTGGCCCCTGGGTGGCCAGCTGGGGGGGTCCCTTGTCATCCTTCTGTGCCCAACCCCCGAGCACGCCTAACAATCCAGGCAGCAGTGTTCCTGGCGGAACCCCGTGACCATGGGGCAGGGGCCTGCGGGACTGACTCAGTGCAAGTGCGTTCGCAGCGGGAGGGAGACGCTAAGTCTAAACTTACAGGGAGTGGAAACATCGGACAGCGTGTGCAGATGGCGGGCTGTCCAGGCCCCTGGGAGGCCCCTCTCCGGTCCCATCTCCATGTGGGGACCCTTCCCTCCCTCCCTCCAACCGGGGGGAAGCTGGGGAAAGAGCTGGAATAAACTTCTAGAACACCACCTGGGTGGGGGGGATGGACTGCAAAGTCCTCCTCTGGCCAGAGGCCCCTCCTGCCCCGCCTGGGCGCTGTTCTGGGTGACCTGGAGCCACAGTGAGCACACGTCCTTCGGCATTGCCCGGGGGTTTAAAGGGGGGCGTCCCCTGTGGCTCTCAGCTGGCTGGTGGAACGGCGGGCGTAGCGGGGCGGGTGCTTGGGGTGCACACTGGAGCTTCTGTGGTCTGGCTGGTTCCAGGTAACTGCCGGAATCGGTGGAGACCCCGAGGGCCCCCGGTACAGGCCCCGGCATGATCCCGGCCCCCCCGGCCGCCTCACCTTGGAAAGCACGTCGGGGTTGGGGTCGTTCTGCAGCAGCACCGCGGCCGTCCGCGTGTCATCGTTGCGGGCCGCGATGTGCAGGGCCGGCAGGCGCACCTTCCCCTTCGTCCCGTAGTTGATGAGGTGTGCCACCACATTCTCGTGGCCCTGCTGCAGGGCCACGGCCAGAGGGGTGAAGCCGTCCTGACCGGGGAGGGGGAGAGGAGGGACCATTTGCTCTGACCGTCCTGACCACTCGGTCCTCAGGGCAGGACACGCGCTTTCAAGCTCAGGGCTCTTGCCCTGTGCCCGAGAGGACCTCCCTCCTCCACAGCCTGCGAGCTCGGCTGAGATGCCACCTCCTCCCTGACGCCGCTCCTGGCCCTGCTTTCGTTCCTTGCCGTGTCACAGCACCTCCAGGAATTTCCCTTTGGCGCGTATTTAACTTTTCCTTTAGGACGTGCTCCTAGTCGGAGCGTTGATGAGAGTTTTACTGCCCTGTCTGTTTGCCTCCCTCTCACCCCATCACCCGGTGTCAGGACAGTGCCGTGAACTGACGGCCGACCATTATTCCTTCATTCATTTCACAAATATTATTGAACGCCTACCAAACACTGGAAACCACACCAGGCACCGAGGTTTCAACTGTGAGCTACTGTTATTAATCTCCTCGGTGTGTACTAGGGGTACAGGGCCCCCTGAACTGGCAAAGTAGATGTCATCTGATGCTAAGAGTCAAGAGAAGCTTTGGTTCCATCTAGTCTGATTTCATCATTTCACCAGTGACAAAACTCAGGGTCGAGTGACTTGTCCAAGAGTGTACGTGGGTTCCCGGCAAGAGTCTTTCTCATTAAGGTCCTAGGCAGACCTGTGACACACACGTGCGCACGCACGCACACACACACACACACGTGCATGCACGCCTCCCACCCCAGCCCGGCCTCCAGTGTTTGTCACAGTGGGAATGACAGGCTCACCCCTGCTGTCACTTCTCTGGCACGTGTCTGGGCATCCCTCAACGACCATAACTTTGTCTCTTGCCCCCTTGCAGGGTCCAACAGCACCCAGGACATTGATCATGGCAGAGAATGCATCCCGAGCCATGTCCCAGGAACACACTCCCCTGGGACCGTGTCCTCCCCCCGAGAGACATTCAGCCGTGAGGCCGCATCCCCAAGGTACTTACTTCTGTGGCTACATTCTGATTAGCTCCGTTTTCCAGCAAAAACTTAACCACCTCCAAGTGATTCTCTTGTGCTGCCATGTACAGGGGTGTAAAACCTTTCTGTAAGCCAAGAGAAAAAGCCATTGGCATTCACCCATGTTAGTGACAGATGCTAAAACCAATGCAAGATCCTCCAAACTCGCAGACAGCTCTCCCTGCATCCTGTTTCCACCCAGCCCTTGTGGCAACATCCCCACCTGTGTCTCCAGCTATAATAACACACGGACACTCTGCAATGGTGTAGCAGGGTTACTGCAAAAGGCCACCAGGTGGGGGTGATCCTCTCCGGAAGTCTGTTTCTGCCCCTCCCAGAATGGTCAGCCTCTTCTGCACACCCACCCCCTGCTAATTTCACTCCTTTCCTCATCCGCCCTCATGTCCCCCCCATACACAGATGAGCCACAACTAAATATATTATTCAGCTAAAGGAACAGAGATGGGGTCCACAGTGACCCACCCCATCGTGCTTAGAACGTCCACTGTGAAGCAGGAAAAAGCAAGAAGGTGCTTGGAGACATTTGAATACATTTGGACTCGGCCACACAGCGTGTCCACCCGGGTGAAGGGGACGGGCAGCCCCACCGCCCGGGGTCCTGAGCATCACCTGTGACTGGGCGTTGACGTTGGCACCATAGTTGACGAGCTCCCGCACCACCTGGTCCTGACCCGCCAGGGCGGCGATGTGCAGCGCCGTGTTCCCCTTCTGAAACACGGGGAGGGAAGACAGGAGGTTCCCAGGGGCCCGTCACAGGTACAGGGCTGTCACAGGTGCGGGATAAGGGTGTCGTCTGCGGGGAGGCAGCGGGCTTCCTTTATGGCCCCAAGGGGTGGACCACACACACTTGTGTGCCTGACCCATCAGACATCATGAACAGCCCTGGAAACCTATGGAGGGAAGTTCTTCCCGTTCTCCTGAAAAAAGAATGCCCCAGAACAAGAAAGCCAACTTCTCAGCACGGATCTGCTGCACTTGGGCTCGGCGTCCTGACATCGGCTGACGGGCAGTCAGAATTCCCCAGGCCACCTGCGGAAGGGCTGCCAGGCAAGATGGCTCCTTGGACGTCCAGCTCCTCCGGGGCTGTGGCCCTGCAGGACGGGGCGGAGGCCCCGAGCTCCAGGGAAAAGGAGGTCACAGATCCCGCGGGCCCAGCTCCCTCGCGCCATTACAGCAACACGCACCGGCCAAAGGCTGGACCAAAGGGGGCACTGGGTGAGGGGTAGTCAAGCATCAGATAGAAGTGGGAAGGGCAGAAGTAGGTAAAGGAGTTGGGGGGAGGGTTAGTAAAAGGAACTATATAATGTACGTAGAAGAAAAGAAAAATATGAAACCAAGTGCAGAAAAATAAATAGAATAGAACCTGGCAGAGGAAAACCCAAAGGAAGAATATGAATAAGTAAAATACAGTGAGTCAGAGTTCACCAAGTCAGAGAGGAGAGGAAGGCCAGAGAGAAGAAACATTAGAAGCAAATGAGATTCACAGCTGTTTTAAGGTAAACTTTTCAGAAGCTGAGAACTGGTAACAGAGACTAAGACGCCAGGCAGGCTCTGAAGGTGGTGGTAGTGGCGGGGACGTGTGAGGTTTCTTGTCTGGATCCATCCTGGGCATTTAACAGCACTTCCTGGACGGGCGGGGTCAGGTCCGGCAGGTAGCTTCCGTTTCCGGGATGCACCTCCCTGCCAGGCTCCTTCCTGCCTCCCTCCCAAGTCCCTCTCCCCGACATGATCCCACGGGCATCCCTGCTCCGGGAGGGGCAGGCGGGGCAGGCCCACTTGACCACGTCCATCAAACAGGGACCACAGCTGGACCCATCTGTCTCTCTGCTACGTAAGGCGCACAGATCTCACACGACCTCACGTTTTCTAGTTCAGACGGCATATAGTTTTTAACTAAATTACATGAACACTTGCCAATCCATCTCAGGAAACCCACCAAACAGGGACTTCAAATCTAGTCTGTGCGCTGGGGCCACCGGCCACTGGGAGCCAAGCGCCTCCCCCAGGGGGTCTGAGCATCACAGGGTCTGAGCATCACAGGGCCACCCGGCGCCCCAGGGCTCATGTTTCTGTCTCTAAAGCGTGGCCTGTTTCAAGCAGGAGGGTCCTCTCGTTACCTCCCAAATGTGTCTTTCTGATTTCTCCTTAAGTTCCACTTGTTAAGCAGAAGGGTTCTTCCTCAAATATCCATCAGAGAATAAGTGTCAGAAATGAGTATAAAGATGCTAAGTAATCTTTTTTTCTTCGAAGTCCGAAGAGCCTCCACTTAGACACCTTGGCACCTGGGTCCAACTCACTAGCTGTACCAAGTGGAACGGGGCTGCTGGCACCAGAACCTTCTCTAGGAATCAAGACTCAGACCTCCACGCCTCCCCACCTAGAAGGAGGCGTGCCATGTCCATCCATCCACTCACCACACGCTGAGCACATCTGAGTCAGGCACTGGGCCAGCTCGAGAAGGGAATTTCAAACATTTCCTTCCCTCTGCCCCTTCCTGCCTGAAATCCCACGACGACAGGACTCACCCCGTATAAACCCACGTGGAGGGAAGCTGGCCAGGGAGAGATGTGGAGGCCTGGCCGTGGGACTCGGCCCGTGACGTCTTCAGAACCTGGGCTGAGAGCAGCCCTGGTGAGGAATGTATGCCCCCCTCCACACACACATGCACGCGCCGCAAGGCTCAAGAAGACCCCCAGCCTCAGGTCCGGAGTCACAGGGAGATGGGTTTTTCTGCTCCTCCCGCAGCATGAAGGAACGTGCCCTCAAAGAAGCAGGAAAAAGTACTTAGCTATATTTGGATCCACAAAGACCCAATTTCTCCATTTCCAGGGAGTCCCAGAGCTCACGGCAGGGAGGGTGGCTGCAGTGGGTGCTGAGTGAGTGCCCGGGCTGGGGAGGGGGGTGCAGGGGGAGGCAAAGAATACATTTGTTTCACACTTTTAAATTTTCTAAGCACAGTTTAGGAACCTATATTGGTTTTGGCTTTTTAGTCTTTTCTTTTTTTAATCTCGCTCCTGCTTGCGAGACCCATTACAATTCCCCAATCTGTTGTGGCTCTTGTTTTGCCCACGGTTTCAGCTTCACCCTGTTTTTCCTCCCTCTGTTGGGCCCTCAGAAACCACGTTGGCTTATACAATTTCTATAAATAACAGAGACACACCAAGTGTTCGCTTGCAGAATACCGATCCAAGGGGGAAATTCGGAGAGAGTAAACGTGCTGAAGCATAGTGTTTCTGCAGCTCTTGTGGGGATGCCAGGGGGAGGACAGCCACTCTGGCCACCACAGCCCGTCAGATGGCACCATGCTTGCGGCCAGGCAGCTGACAGCATCAGATGAGAAATAACCACATCCCTTTCATCCACAGAAGAAGCCGGGTGGAAACAATTGGTATTTGTCATGCGGTTAGAAAAAAAATGCCCTGTACACGTTCAGAAAGAGCAAATCAGTCTATTTCATCCGTGAGATCTTTTCACCTTTGGGAAATGACATGAAAATTGCAGAATTTTACCTCGAGAGATGAGTCTACCTTCATAATATTTTGGAAGTTCACTTCATAACCATAATTATATCTGTTCTCTACCTGTTGTTCTTCTGGTTCTCTGCTCACGAGGTGGTAAAACGTCTGCTGCGCGGAACTGAAATCGGGGCTGTGCATGAGACCACGCTGAATAAACAGCAAATGGAAAATAAGAGGCTGCAGGGACCAGCCCAGGAAGAAAACCATGGGATGTAACAAAGGAAGGGGGAGAAGAGGAAACAGCACTTGACACAGTAAACAGAGGTGATTTTTCTGGTTTAATTTTGTTTGTTTTTAAATGCTGGCTGCTTGTTGCTTAGTAAACAAATAAGATGCATAAGAAATGAAACTGACTTTGCAACATGTAGGTGCATCAATTCCATGACTGCAGTTTCTGGACTTAAGTCACTGGTGTTTATAATCTACTGCTTTGGGGAGAACCGTCCTGCTGTGAGAGGTGTGACATCACACAAATGCTTGGAGTAAACGGAACACTGTTCACTGTTCAAGGGACCCAGTAAGGAGAGGAAATGGGTTTGGGGCTGACCAAGGAAGACTCAGGGTTGGAGAAGGATGAACGAGAGGGGTGTGGACTCTTCCACAGCCCTCATGAACGACACAGTCACCAATATTTATTGATTTCTTCCTATGTAGGCATTATATATTCACTATCACATTTGATTTTCATACCAATCCTGCAACTACATATTATAATCTCCATTTTAAAGATGAGTGAACTGAGGCTTCTCACTGGCTGAGTGACTTGCTTCAGGTCACAGAGTATGAAACATCTGAGCGAGGATCTGGACCCAGGGCACCTGCCTGTGGACCTCTTAGCTTGGGAAAGCAGGAAGCCATCAGGCAAACGGCTTTATTTTTAGCTTTACAGTTGAGTGATGAGGATAAAGGCCCCCTGAACCCTTGTGGAAATGGGGTCCTGTGTTTTTCAGGTGACTTCAGGGGCTCACAGGGCTAGGAAGTGACTGGAAGGACGAGAGGAGTTCAGAAGCGGGCTTGGGTTTCTGTCATGAAGGGCTGGTTTCTATGTCTTTAGGGTTTGGGACAATATGTGAATTTTGATGGAAAACTCCCGCCCCACCCCCCACCCCCCGCCACCAAGAGACGTACCTTGGTTGTCGTTTCCAGGATGATCTCTTTGTGCAGAAGTTCGACCACCATCTTCACGTGGCCTTCTTTAGAGGCCAGATGCAAGCCGTTCAGCCCATTCTGTGAAGAGCAGAGAGGCAGGGACGGTGGGGTTAGAGGGTCCGTGCGTCCTGCTGGTCCAGGCGGCTGGACCGAGGTCCCTGACCGCGAGGGGCTGTGCAAAGGGCCCGAAGGGGAGACCCCGAGTGGTGTCGACATAGGCGCAGGGCAGAGCCAGCCTGTGACCAAAGCTTGTCTGACAGTTAAATTTTAGGAGAAAAAAACCAAGCAAACATTTTCCAGGGCCAACCATCAAGTCCACAAAAGCAGAACCCTCACTGGGTAGTTAAAGTTCCAGCCGCCCGGGCTCTAAAGAAAGCAGCCAGCACAAGGCTCACTGGTCCCCTCCTGCTTCGGACCCTTCTGACCCTTGCACTTAGATGTCTTGAAACTTTCTGGCAAAAGCTGCCTTCAAAGAGAGCTACTCAGAACACAAATAACTGACGACACGATGGAACTAGCTTTCAGTTCCAATGGAGAAATAGATCTCGGCTCCGCACAGAGAATGATTTTCATCAGTCAGTGATCTCCACCCCGCTCCCTCCCCACCAGCAATCTCCTCTCTTCCCATCTCCTCCTTCCTGTCTCCTCTGCTGGTCAACTCTGTTCTCCCACGTCCCTTTTCAGGGGGTACCCCAGGGCCACCGTGGGCTCTGGCTGACAAGAAAGACCCTCATCACCAAGATGGAGGGGTTGGTTCCTGGTGGTGTGAATGGAGGGGTCCCTGGCTCACCCAATATCTCTGCAGCCCCACCATGGGGTCCTGAAACTCCCACTCTCCCTTTGTATCAGGGCATCATTTTCAGGAGATTCCAATTAAAACACAAATATTCTGCCTGGGAGTTCTAGTGCGTTAACCCATTAACAGATTAGCCCTATTGCTTTGCTAAAACCAGCACTGGAAAGTACTGAGTGATTACTGCCGTAACGCGACACACGTGCCTCACGATGGGAGAATGGAACATGTGTAAGACCCTCTTTACGTCGGGGGCCTTGGACGGGGCAAATATAACAGGTGCCTTGGGTGTCAGAGAACAGCCCAGAGTAGGCTTGAAGGGAACTTTACCTACTTCCTATTTAGACCGGACCCGCCCTGCGCCCGAAACCCACAGAGTACAGCTGGCCAAATCTTTGCCCGTCAGCACAGCCAGCCTTGCCAGGGTGGGTGTATGTGGAGGGGATGGGAGAGCCCGCTGCAATGTTTCCTCTCGCCAACGCCTGAAAATCTCCGTTAGATTTCTTCCTCTTGCAGACTTTGGACACCGTGAAAATGTAGGGTCCAAAGAGGTGTGAATAATCCACACCCCAGTGTGAATGAGTTTATCAGATAAAGGCTAGGTCAGAGCCCGTTTTGATAACAGAAAGGGAGAAAGTGGTTGAAGGCAAGACAGCAGGTCTGTGACTGCAGGAATCTGAGGGAGGGGAGGAGCTCGGGGCTGAAGCCAGTTCCCCTCAAATCATTCTGCAAAATACAAACTTGCAGAAAAGCCTTTGTCAGGCGACCTGCTCCGGAGGCCTGGAGCCACTCTCTCCAGCTTTGCGTCCTGACTCTACCCCGGGGAAGGGTCTGCACCGGAGGGAGCCCCTCCTTCCCCAGCGCTGCCATCTGCAATCCCCTCTTCACACCCAGCAGCGCCTTGTCTGGAAGGTTCCGGGCGCTGAGCGCAGGCACCCTGTGGTCACGTGGGAATCCGGGGTGGGCATACCACTGTGGGAATCACAGTCTGCTCACTGCAGGGGACTCGGCTGGGGCTTCGAGCGTGCGTGTGCTGACTGCGGGGCTTTCAGCGCTCCCGGGGGGTGCAGTCACTTTCCAGGAGCAGTCGTTGGTCCTGAATGCCTCAAAGCTGGGGAAGTGGCCAGTCTACAAGGAAAACACTAACGTTTGCTGCTAACACCCCAGGGGTGGCTGTCCCTGCTCTTTGGAGCCAGAGTCAGGATCTCAATCCACAGGGATTCTAGACACACAGTCTGCCCAGAGGATGCTGGCGTCCAAAGGGTTATTGGAGATCCCTGAATGCTGAGGAAACCAAGGCCCAGAGAAGTCAAATGATTGGCTCAGGTCACACAGCCTTTCTAGGTCACAGCCACATATAGAACCAACCTGGATGCCCCAGGAAGAAAGAGTTTGGGCCTTTTTTAACCCGAGGAGCTAGTATGTTTCTTTTCATCAGCCGATGAAAGCACAGGTTCCCTCTGTGACTACCAGGCAGCTTAGAGGGACTGCTCAGTCACCATAACCATCCGTGCGGGTCTGGTCACGACCGCTGTAGGTGGTCCCCAGGATTTTACTCGCTGCCCTGGTCCCTAGGAAGCCCCTCTGCTTCCCTCCCTGGGTCACATACCCCCCTCCCAAAGCTGAACTCTGGCAGAAGGCAAGGGACCATCTGAATATCAATAGATCTGTGTCTCTAATAGTTTTACTCAGCTTCCACCTCGGATCCTGGTTCAAAGATCTCTTTCTTCTTTATGACTTTATTTTTCTTACTTTACCTTTGATTTGTTTCCAACATAGTCACACTAAGTTACTTCCAAGTCCATTACTGTGATGATCTGAATCCAACTCCCTCACCAGGGCCACAGAAGAAGCCCATGTGGCACAGCTATGACGGGTGTGCAAGAAGACCCAGGAATCTAGTGCAGAACAAAATCACACAGGGGCACGGCTATGACAAACTCTTGTCCCAACTACAGTTACCTCACACCGAGCATGCACTAAATCCGCTTCAGCAAACATTTACTGAGAAGCTATTCTGTGCCTGGCACTACGCTAGGGATGCCTAAAACACAAACCCTGACCCTCAAAGAACTCAGTTTAAGACAGAAAGGAGATGCATAAAAATAAATGCAAAATCACGTGAAAAACGCCCAAAATGCAGGTATAAGACTGAAAGTAGCAAAGAGGAGAAAGGAGCTGCTTGGTTAAGGGGTCAGGAAAGCTTCGCAGAGGGCTTTTCGGGGCAGTCTGCACACAGCCAGGGGTGCAAGTCCATTAACAATGGCAACGTGAGTTTAAACATGTCTGAGTTTAAATTCTAAACCCATGAGCTCAGGTTTTAGAAACTATGCTCCCGGCCCTTCTCATCAAGTGCCCTCCTCTTTCTTCCATGAAGCATCTGGATTCCAGGAACGTACAAACATCCACTGCAGCAAGTTTTCTCCAGCAACTGGCCTCAGCAGATGGATGGATGGCCACATCCAGCAGCTGAAGTCGCTGAAAGCCTGAAAGCAAGTTTAGGGCATATGTACCCAAAGGAGCTTGTACAACTGTCTTATTAGAGGCATAACTAGTCTAGGCAGGAGACCACTTCCAGTATTTCAAAAGAGCGTTTCATGGATAAATACTACATTTCATACTTTCTTTTTCTTTAAGCAGACTTGTTATTGCTCAGATCTGAAGGGGGGAGGGGTGCAAATTCTGGGAGCTACTCGTTCTTAACTAAAACTATGGACAGAGACAAACTGCAATCTACCACCTCTTTAAAATCAGGATCCGTGTGGTGTGTTTGAGTCAAATCAAGTTTAAGTTATTGGCTAAGAGTAAAAGGCAGGCCACTGAATCTTCCTGGCACCTTTGCAGCTAGTCTCGCTAACCTGACAGCCACTCCACTCCACGCTGAATGGCAGACAGAATACTGAGGGGGATTATGGGGAGAAATCACATATTTCCTCCCCCAAATAACTGGGTGTAGAAGATAAACAAGAAGGAGGTGGAGGGATATTAGAGGAACTTCTTCAGCTAAATTAGAAGCTAGGGAGCAAAGCAGTAGCTACTTGTGGGCATTTTTTTTAGCCACACGCTTTTCTCAGGAAAATGCCAGCTTGCCAAATTCTTCTTCCCGAAGACCTGCTTCTGCGTCTCCAGTTACGCGCACGTTAGACTAACTGATTTTGTTCCACAGCCCTTGGCTGCTCTTTCCTGTTTTTCTTTCATCACTCTTTTTCTATTTTTTGTTTCAATTTTGATCATTTCTACCGACATGTCTTCAAGTTCTTTGATTCTTTCCTCAGCTGTGTCCAGTCTACTCTGGAGCCTGTTGAAGAAATTCCTCATTGCCTGAAAGTTTTTAAAAATTTCTAGCATTTCATTGGGCTCTTTCTTACAGTTGCCATCTCTCTGCTGAAATCCCCTATCTGTCCATGAACAGTGTCCACTTTTCCTACTAGATCCTTTAACATATTAAGCATAGTTATTTCAAAGTCCATCTGATAGTTCCAAAATCCAGGTCATCTCTATGTCTGGTTCTGTTGATTGCTTTGTCTATTGACAATTCTTTGTTGCTGTTTTCTTCTTACTGTGTGTATTGTAATTTTTAATTGAATGCCAGACACTATATATAGAAGAGCAGTAGAGACTGAAATAATTTGTGCCTGGAAATGGACATGCCTCTGCTTCTGTGAAGCTGTTAGCACAGGGCTGGGGATGGGGGCTGAGTCAATCTAGTCAGGAGTTGACCTGCGTCTGGGTTTTGTTGTTACCACTGGTGCACACAGCCTTCAGATTATTCCAGAGGTAGGCTGCTGTCACCTGGAGCTCAGAGTAGGAGCTAAGGTGCCAGAGGGTTGTTCTGTGATCCTGATTGCCGCTCAGCTTCCAGCCATCCTTATGTTGCCTGTGCCTCAGTTGGGGTCTTTCTCCACGCTCTTGCCCCCTCCCAGCAGTCCTATGCTCTTCCTTGTTTCAAGGTAGGAGCAGAGCTTCTCTTTTGTCCTGCTCCAGCTTCAGTCTTAGGCAGGCTTTGCTCCTGGGCCTCAAAGGTGGGAATTTTTTTTCATCATTTTCCCCCTCTTCTCTGCCTTGTCTCTATACTTGGTGCTGAGTGAGATTCCCTCGCTCCTCCCCCAGTGGCAGCAGACCTCTGCTTTTTATTTGTATAAGGCAGTTAGTTAATGGCCCCAAATGGCTTCCCGCCCTCCCTGGGAGTACAGGGGGTGTGCCTCCCCCTTTCCTGAAGCAGCACTGGGTCTCTACCTATGTCCTGGGGCTGGAAGGTTTCCTACCCTCCCCAGGGGCAGGGGGA